AACAAGGTGAGCCTCTTTTCCTCGTGCACTCATGCTGCTTCTTGCTCGCTCCCTGCATTCACGCTTCTCCCTGTTCTCACTGCTGCTTCTTGATCCCCTGCCTCCCTCCGTCTCCCCTCCCTCTTCCCTCACCCCCAGAGCATTGAAGGCTGTAGCAGCGCGACAGAAGGGGGCAGCCTGGGGGCAGCAGGGGGGCACGCAGCAGGGCATCAGCGGAGGGGAGGGGAGGGGCAACGGCAGCAGCAGGGGAAGCAGAGTAGCAGACCAGGAGCAGCAGCAGAAGCAGCAGCAGTCGGGGCTGGGGGGAAGCACTCCACTCAGCTGGGATGGGATGGGAGAGTATCGGGATTGGGTCGTCTGGAACAAGGTGAGCCTCTTTTCCCTCTTGCACTCGTGCTGCTGCTTGGTTTTCTCCCCATGCTCACTTTCCTTTCTTGCTCCCTCCCTGCCTGTACGCTTCTGCCTGCTCTTCTTCCCATTCTCACAGCTGTCCCTTGTTCCCTGTCTGCCTCTTTCCCCCCTCCCTCTCAGCGAGTTGACTTTTGAGTCGACTCAAAAGTCGACTCAAAAGTCATCTTCTTCCCATTCTCACAGTCCCTTGTTCCCTGTCTGCCTCTCTCCCCCCTCCCTCTCGGCGTTCTTCAGCGCCCAGTGCATTGAAGGCTGTAGCAGGGCGGCAAGGGGGAGCAGGAGGGCAGCAGGGGGGACGAGGGAGGGCACCAACCGAGCTTTAAGTTTCCAGCTAAGTACACTTTTTCCTTGGCGTTTCCTTTCCTGCTTCCCATTGCGCATCATTCTGCTTCCGTTTTTACCTCATGTGCTATTGATGCTATCACCTCTGAAATCTTGCCACTGGTTGGGGCCTGGCACACACGCCATAGACCCCCCCGCTCCTACTGCTGGTCACCCCTCAGATTCATGTTCAGCCCCCGCAAAGCCTTACAGCCCTCTCAGGTTCACCCCTCAGGTTCACTTGGGGGTCTGTGTCTTGTGGTTGTGCCTCCTCCAGTGGCCCCTCACTCCTCTACCTTTGCAGTTTTCTTGCCTAGCCGATTTGCCTGCAGTCCCCCCACAGTACACTCTCTGCTGCTGTGTGAGTCCCTTGCAGTTGGAGGGGAGGGGTGTGGGGGACAACACTACCATTCCTCAGCACCCCTCCCCTTGTGGCCATGCAGGTGGGAGGCAAAGGGGGCAGCACTCCACTCGGCTGGGATGGGATGGGAGAGTATCGGGATTGGGTCGTCTGGAACAAGGTGAGCCTCTTTTTCCTCATGCACTCATGCTGCTGCTTGGCCTTCTCCCCATGCTCACTTCCGTTTTTTGCCCCCTCTCTTTCTTCACGCTTCTGCCTGCTCTTGTCCCCGTTCTGACAGCTCTCCCTTGCCCCTTTGTCCCCCTCCCTCTCCCCTCCCTCCCAGTACATTGAAGGCTGTAGCAGGGCAGCAGGGGGCAGCAGCAGAGCAGCAGCGGGGCAGCAGCGGAGGGTAGGGGAGGGGCAGCAGCAGCAGCAGCAGGGGAAGCAGAGTAGCAGACCGGCAGCAGCAGTACCTACAGTGGGGGAAGGGGGACTTGGCTAGGCTAGATGTGGCTGCGGGGATGTATGGTACAAGGTATGGTATGGTTACAGATGAGGTATGGTAAGCTGATCCCCTCCTCTCTCACCCCCCTCCTTCTCCATGCAGGCTAAGGTGGGAGCACTGGAGCAAGGACGGGAGAGTGGAGTCCGCCCTCTCACTCACCTCCTCCTCTCTCCCTTTTCCCTTCCCCTCCAGCAGCACCCTGCCTGGATCACAGAGGAGTCTCTCCCTCCCCTAATCCCCCTTTCTCTCTCCACTTTCTAGTATCCTCAGCATCATGGCGCTCTGCACGGCTGTGGTAAGTGGAGGTAAGTAAAGGTAAAGGCATGGGGGTGAAGTGTGGGGTGGGTGGGTGGGGAGCATGGGAGCAAGTGGGGAGTTCACTGCCTTAGGGGCAGCATCTCCTGGGGTTTTGCCTTGTGGCCGGCGGCTCTGGTTCGCGTCAGCTCTGGCTACGTCAGGGGTGGGATTTGAGTCTTGTGCTGGAAGCGCTTTTCCACTGCCACTCTTCGCCCCGCAAGGCACAGCCTCTGAGGGTGCTGTGTCCGAAGGCTGGTGGGCTGTCTGCTGCTCCTACTGCTGGCAGGTGAAAGCGGAGTGCTTGCCTCCCTCTGTATCTTCCCTCTGTAACCTCTCTCTGTTTTCCTCCCTCTGTATCCTCCCTCTTTCGCCTCTCTCTCTCTCTCTCTCTCTCTCTCTCTCTCTCTCTCTCTCTCTCTCTCTCTCTCTCTCTCTCTCTCTCTCTCTCTCTCTCTCGCTATGTTTTTCTCCCTCTCTATCCTCTCTCTGTCACCTTTCTCGGTTTTCCTCCCTCTGTATCCTCCCTCTGTATCCTCCCTCTGTATCCTCCCTCTGTCACCTCTCTCGGTCTTCCTCACTCTGCATCCTCATTCCGTCCCCTCTCTCTGTTTTCCTCCCTCTGTCACCTCTCTGTTTTTCTATCTCGGTATCCTCCATCTGTCATCTCTCTATCTGTTTTCCTCCCTCTGTATCCTCCCTCTATCACCTCTCTCTCTGTTCCCCCCCCTCTCTGTACCCTCCCTCTGTCACCTCTCCCTCTGTTTTCCTACTCCTGTGTCCTCCCTCTGTCACATCTCTCTTTGTTTTACTACCTCTATATCCTCCCTCTGTCACCTCTCTCTCTGTTTTTCTACCTCTGTATCCTCCCTCTGTCACCTCTCTCTCTCTGTTTTCGTACCCCTGTATCCTCCCTCTCTCACCCCTCTCTCTATTTTCCTCCCTCTGTCACTTCTACCTCTATTTTCCTCCGTCTGTATCTTCCCTCTGTCACCTCTCTCTGTGTTTTCCTCCCTCTGTCACCTCTCTCTGTTTTCCTCCCCCTTTATCCTCCCTCTGTCCCCTCTTTCTGTTAGCCTACCTTCCTATCCTCTCTCTGTCACCTCTCTCTGTTTTCCTCCCTCTATCCTCCCTCCGTCACCTCTCTCTGTTTGCCTACTTCTGTATCCTCCTTCTGTCTACTCTGTTCGCCTCCCTCGTGTCTTCTCTGTATCTTTCCTCTGTCGCCTCTCTCTGTTCCATGAGAGCAAGATGCTCATGTTTGGTTGGTGGCACATGCTGAGACGTATGGCACTGATGCCACCTGTTGCATGAGAGCAAGATGCTCATGCTTGGTTGGTGGCATGATGAGCCGTATGGCACTGATGCCACCTGTTGCATGAGAGCATGATGCTCATGTTTGGTTGGTGGCACATGCTGAGCCGTATGGCGCTGATGCCACCTGTTGCATGAGAGCATGATGCTCATGCTTGGTTGGTGGCACATGATGAGCCGTATGGCACTGATGCCACCTGTAGCATGAGAGCATGATGCTCATGCTTGGTTGGTGGCACATGCTGAGCCGTGTGGCGCTGATGCCACCTGTTGCATGAGAGCATGATGCTCATGCTTGGTTGGTGGCACATGATGAGCCGTATGGCACTGATGCCACCTGTTGCATGAGAGCAAGATGCTCATGCTCGGTTGGTGGCACATGCTGATCCGTATGGCGCTGATGCCACCCGTTGCATGAGAGCACGATGCTCATGTTTGGTGGCACGAGGGGAGATGCTGGCGGGCAAGGTGAGTTGTTAGTTGGCCAGGTAAGATTGTTTGTAGTAGTGGAAGAGGCAGGTAGGCAGGTGCATTTGTGGTTGATATGCTGCCGGGTGGGCAGGTGGCGCGCCCGCGCCTAGTGTTGTGGAAAGCCCCGTGGGAAATGCTGTTTGGTGGGCATGCTCATAGGTCAGCATAGGTCGTAAACAAGAGCAAGATGCTCATGTTTGGTGGCACATGATGCGCATGAGCAGGACGCCTTGCGTGCCGTGCCATGCTGTGTGCTGCCAGGATGATAAGTTTGAGAAATAGGAGGATAAGGATCGCGAAACATAACGAAATGTGACAGTCACAAGAAGCGTTTTTAGAGACAATTTACCATACCGTATGTGCTGCTGCTGCGCAAACCCTTCCCATATTTGTCGAGTCTTGCACGACGTGTGGCCCAATTAGAGAGAGTGGATGAGGGAGGACCACTGGTACTCTCAATAGCACCTCAAATTCATTTACCTGCAGTCTTGTCACATTGCACATTGTGTGCAGTGAAATTTCTCAGCTCCTAGTAAAAATTGCAAGGTGATATATTTGTCATGTTCTGTTTTGAAAAGAGCCTCTACATCTAGCTACGGAACCCATCACGCAAAGTGTCGTGTAAAATCCTTGGATACATCTTGCAACGCGGATCATGGATCGGTTTGGTATGGCGACATCCCTCACCTGATGTGGAGAGAGATATTTTGCAGGGTTTTACATCCCCAACCTCTCAGATAAATTTATTTCTGCCCCAGGGAGTTGATGTGAGAGGCCTGTAACACAACAACCTCGAAAATTACGGAAGAATCTGGAGGACAGTTCTCAAACAAACCACAGCTCTCCCAGATTTAGAGGCTCCCTTCCATCCAAACCAGGCAACAACACCTGACCTCACACTTGGAACCACTGTGTATCCCTCAGAGGTCCTTCTGGGGTCACGGAAGGGTAGCGCTGAACTTACCCTGGGAAATCAGAAAATGGATGTTTTTCATTCTAACTCGCGACGCCTTCTTCATCTCTCATCTCCCTCGATGATTTACGGCAGAGCGATAGACTGCTTTCAGCATCCAGCTTCCCTTGAAATTGCCTGAAGTCCACCTCACAGGCATAACCAACTCTGGTCTCGTTCGTTCCTCCCTCACCTTCATTTCTCGAATACTTCCTAGGTTTGTGACTCCTCCTCAGGAGCTACCACTCAGGTCAGCTCCGTGTAAATATAGTGCTGCGATCTCTGCTACCTCGTTGTAGACTAAACCTAACCGTAAATACCGCGAACGCGTGCCGTGAGCCGAGCCACGTGGCAAACCCCAGCTGGTTGTAGCCGAATCGAATCCGATCATGACTTCGACGGGCACTCTGTGCAATCTCGCGGGACCGGAAGGGCGAAAGAAGCGCGTCGCGTATTTCTACGATCCGGACGTGGGGAATTACTATTACGGCCAGGGCCATCCCATGAAGCCGCACCGCATCCGGATGACGCACAGCCTGCTCATGCACTACGGCCTGCACACCAAGCTGGAGATCTTCAAGCCGTTTCCCGCGCGCGATAAAGATATGTGCAGGTACGCCTTATAACAGGGATGTTTTTGCATCCAGATGAACCACAGCCTGTGCACTACAGCCTGCACGTCATTTTGGAGAGTTTCAAGCCGTTTCCCGCGCGCGACGATAAGGGCATGCGTAGGTGAGGCGGATTGCTGTCAGTGCGGGGTTGTTTTCAATTCTAAATGACGGCCTGCTGATTCGCTACCGCCCGCACACCAAGCTCGAGATCTTCAAGCCGTTTCCCGCGCGCGGCGAAAAGTGCATGCGCAGGTGAGGCGGATTGCTGTCAAAACGGGGTTGTTTTCAATCTTGAATAACAGCAGCCTGCTGATGCGCTACGGCCTGCACACCAAGGTAACGAGGTGACTTTTGAGTCGACTCAAAAGTCACCTCGTTACAATGGCACACGACACATTTACTGGCAGCCTGCTGATGCGCTACGGCCTGCACACCAAGCTTGAGGTTTTCAAACCCTTTTCTCGCTCGCAATAACGATATGTGCAGGTGAGGTTTATAGCGGGGCTGCGCTTGCGATAAGGACATGTGGAGGTGGGGCTTGTAACGCTGTTCTTTTCGAAATGGCCTTCAGCCTGTTCATGCACCCCGGTTTGCACGACAAGCTGGAAATAGGGATCCGTGCAGGTAAAACGGAATGTGCTTATAACGGGGTTATATCTGGATCCGGCCAGCTGAAGCCTTCCTTTGACCCTTGACCCCCACAAACCCCCACCTTTTTTTTCCAACCCTTCGTTAATGATCCGCATTCCCTTTCTCCCTTCTCTCACTATCTACCAGGTGCCATTCGAACGATTACGTCGAGTTTCTCCGCACAGTCACCCCTGAGAACCAGCACGAGCAGCTGCGAATGCTCTTGTTGAACGCTTCCCTTTTCCCCTCCATCCTCCCACCACTACCGGGTTCCACTCAGACGACTATGTGGAGTTTCTCCGAACAGTGACTCCGGAGAACCAGCACTGCTTGTCTCATTGTTCTCTTATCAACGCCCCCCATTTCCATTCCCGACCTGTTCCTCCCACCCACCAGGTTCCACTCAGACGACTACGTCGAATATTTTCTCCGCACAGTGACTCCTGAGAACCAGCACGAGCAGCTGCGAATGCTAAATGATTCCGTTTCCTCCTCCCACTCTCCCACTATCTTCCTCCTACCAGGTTTCACTCGGACGATTACGTCGAATTCCTCCGCACAGTCACCCCTGAGAATCAGCACGAGCAGCTGCGGATGCTCAAGCGCTTCAACGTAGGAGAAGACTGTCCCGTCTTCGACGGGCTCTACCAGTTCTGCCAAACCTACACCGGAGGCTCGGTGGGAGGTGCGGTGAAGCTGAACCACGGGCACTCGGACATCGCGATCAACTGGGCAGGCGGATTGCACCATGCGAAGAAATGCGAAGCTTCAGGGTTCTGCTACGTGAACGATATTGTGCTTGCGATTCTTGAGCTGTTGAAGTACCACGCTGTGAGTCCACCTCTCTTGTAGCGTGATTACTCCATCCAAACCGAGCTGAACCGAGCTGAACCACGGGCACTGGGTCTTCTGCGAATGCTCAAGCCCCGTGAAGCTCCTCATACCCTTCTCCCTCGTCTTTCCTTGACCTCCGTCTCCCCTTCTTTCCCCCACCTCCATGTGCTCTACATCGACATTGACATTGACTGGGGGAAAGAAGGGGGACGGCGGGGACGGCGTGGACATTTGCCATACATCGACATTGACATTCGCCTTGGGGACGGCGTGGAGGAGGAGGAGAGGCCTGCTCCCTCATACCCTTTGCCCTCGTCTCCCCTGGACCTCCTTCTCCCCTCCTCCCCTTCTTTCCCCACCAGCGTGTGCTCTACATCGACATTGACATCCACCACAGGGACGGCGTGGAGGAGGAGCCTTTCTGTCTCATGCCGCGTCCTGTCCATCTCTCCCCCTCTTCGCTCCCTTGTGTCTACCCCCCCCCAGCGTGTGCTCTATATCGACATTGACATCCACCACGGGGACGGCGTGGAGGAGGCGTTTTACACAACGGACAGAGTCATGACCGTGTCCTTCCACAAGTTTGGCGACTACTTCCCCGGCACAGGTGAGGGATCGTTTGAAGGCACAGGTAGGGGGATTACTTTCCAGGCACAGGTGGGTTTGGGTTGGCTAGAGAGTCACGACGGACCGAGTTGTCCTTCCACAAGTTTGGGGACTACTTCCCAGGCACAGGTGAGGGGGCCCTTCAGGCCACAGGTGGGTTTTAAGTAGACTAGAGAGTCACAAACAAGGCACTGAGTCACAACGGACCGAGTGATGACCGTGTCCTTCCACAAGTTTGGCGACTACTTCCCCGGCACAGGTGAGGGGTCCAGTCCAACGGGTGAGTGTTAAACTGAAACTGGGCAGGCACAGTGGTGTCGAGCCGACATGGGGATGGCGTGGAGGAGGCGTTTTACACAACGGACAGAGTCATGACCGTGTCCTTTCACAAGTTCGGGGATTACTTCCCAGGCACAGGTAAAAACGGCTCCCACAATCCCTAGGAGTTTTGAATAAGGTGGGTGTTGAGTGAGTGGGTGTTGAGTGAGAGGGTGTTGAGTCGACTCAGAAGTCTCAATCTACTTTGGGGGCACGGTTACGGCCTTGGCAAGCTACAGTGCCTCTCTTAGTGGAGCGAGTGGAGTGGAGCTTGCCTTTCTTAGTGTGACAGACAGGGGCAAGCAAGCACTACCCTGCTTTTACCCTCCACTTCTCCCCCTCTTTGCCAGGCGATCTGAGGGACACGGGGTACGGCCGCGGAAAGCACTACTCGCTGAACGTGCCTCTGCATGACGGCATCGACGACGACAGCTACCTCTCGCTCTTCAAGCCGCTCATCTCCAAGGTCATGGACGTCTTTCAACCAGGCGCAGTCGTGCTGCAGTGCGGGGCGGATTCTCTCTCCGGGGACCGCCTGGGATGTTTCAACTTGTCGGTGCGGGGCCACTCGGAGTGTGTGCGGTTCTTGAGATCTTTCAACGTGCCGCTGCTGCTGCTGGGCGGGGGAGGGTATACCATTCGCAACGTCGCCCGCTGCTGGTGCTATGAGGTAAGACCGCGGAGAGGGGAGGGGACCGGCTGGAGTGCTTTCAGCCTGTGGGTGTTTCAACTTGTCGGTGCGGGGCCACTCGGAGTGTGTGCGGTTCTTGAGATCTTTCAACGTGCCGCCGCTGCTGCTGGGAGGAGGAGGGTATACCATCCGCAACGTCGCCCGCTGCTGGTGCTACGAGGTACGGAGAACTAGTGGAATGGGGGGAAGAGGTGCGGAGAGGGCTACACCATTTGCAACGTCGCCCGCTGCTGGTGTTATGAGGTAAGCCAAGCCTGGGTTTTAGGGTTCAGGACGCAGGGTTTCGGGTTTACGGGCACTCGCAGTGTGTGCGGTTCTTGAGATCTTTCAACGTGCCGCTGCTGCTGCTGGGCGGGGGAGGGTGCACCATCCGCAACGTCGCCCGCTGCCGGTGCTACGAGGTAAGCCGCTGGTGTTACGAGGTAAGCCCGGGGGGACTGCCTGGGGTGCTTGAATCTGTTTCTGCTGCTGGGCGGGGGAGGGTGCACCATCCGCAACGTCGCCCGCTGCTGGTGCTACGAGGTAAGGCGGGCTGTTGGGGGTTGGGCGGGCTTTTCTGTCTCTTCCTCCCGTCGGTAAGCTTATCTGAGTGGATGGGCGTGGCAGTGGGGTTGGAATTAGAGGATCGAATGCGTTTCAATGACTACTACAAGTATCTTGGCCCGGACTATACCCTGCACATCATACCACAACCTCGCACTCCCTCTTCCTCCCTCCGCTTTAGTGACACAAACAGACAGGAGTGGCAGTGGGATTGGAGCTCGAGGACCGAATGCCGTTCAACGACTGCTACGAGTATTTTGGCCCGGACTATACCCTGCACATCACACCACCGCGTTCCTTCTCCGTTCATTGTTCCTTCCCTGCGCATCCGAACAGACGGGAGTGGCGGTGGGGTTGGAGCTGGAAGACCGAATGCCTTTCAACGACTACTACGAGTATTTTGGCCCGGACTAAACCCTGCACATCACACCACCGCGTTCCTTCCTTCTCCGTTCATTGTTCCTTCCCTGCGCATCTGAGCAGACGGGAGTGGCGGTGGGGTTGGAGCTGGAAGACCGAATGCCTTTCAACGACTACTATGAGTAGTTCGGCCCGGATTACACGCTGCATGTCACACCGCAACCTCGCACCCCCTCTTCCCTCCCTATGTCCTCCCTCGTCCCTCCGTCTTTCTCCTCCCTCCTTCCTCCCCGTCCGCCCGAACAGACGGGAGTGGCGGTGGGGTTGGAGCTGGAAGACCGAATGCCTTTCAACGACTACTACGAGTAGTTCGGCCCGGATTACACGCTGCATGTCACACCGCAACCTCGCACCCCCTCTTCTCTCCCTATGTCCTCCCTCGTCCCTCCTTCTTTCTCCTCCCTCCTTCCTCCCCGTCCGCCCGAACAGACGGGAGTGGCGGTGGGGTTGGAGCTGGAAGACCGAATGCCTTTCAACGATTACTACGAGTAGTTCGGCCCGGATTACACGCTGCATGTCACACCGCAACCTCGCACCCCCTCTTCTCTCCCTATGTCCTCCCTCGTCCCTCCTTCTTTCTCCTCCCTCCTTCCTCCCCGTCCGCCCGAACAGACGGGAGTGGCGGTGGGGTTGGAGCTGGAAGACCGAATGCCTTTCAACGATTACTACGAGTATTTCGGCCCGGATTACACGCTGCACATCACGCCCAGCAACATGGAGAACCAGAACTCGAGGGCGTATTTAGACTCAGTGCGGTGAGCCGTGTGCCTTGTTGCTGCTTCATGCATGCACGGTGGTAGTAGCACACCCTTCACCACCACATCACGCCCAGCAACATGGAGAACCTGAACTCGCGGGCATATTTAGACTCAGTGCGGTGAGCCGTGTGCCTTGTTGCTGCTTCATGCATGCACGGTGGTAGTAGCACACCCTTCACCACCACATCACACCCAGCAACATGGAGAACCAGAACTCGCGGGCATATTTAGAGTCAGTGCGGTGAGTCATGTGCCTTGTTGCTGCTTCATGCATGCACGGTGGTAGTAGCACACCCTTCACCACCACATCACGCCCAGCAACATGGAGAACCAGAACTCGCGGGCATATTTAGACTCTGTGCGGTGAGTCGTGTGCCTTGTTGCTGCTTCATGCATGCACGGTGGTAGTAGCACACCCTTCACCACCACATCACGCCCAGCAACATGGAGAACCTGAACTCGAGGGCGTATTTAGACTCTGTGCGGTGAGTCCTGCATCCCTGTCATTGGTCTAAGGTGTGAGCTATTGCTCCCACACCCTCCCAGTGCCACCACTCCCTACATTGTATCACACCCAGCACTCGCGTTCTTGAGAAATGAGTTGCGGCATGCTCCCAGCGTGCCCCGTCCCCTCCCATTCTTGCATCGTCTCCTCTCTCTCTATCTTTTACTCCGTCTTGCTCTCCCTCTCTCTTCCTACAAAGAGTATTGAGTTGCGGCACGCTCCCAGCGTGCCCCCTCCCCTGCTTCCGCACGCCCCCACGCGCAGCACTCGCCCTTCCACACCCGCACCTTCAGCCATGAAGTTAGGCGAGCAGCAATCTAAAACTGCTGCTCCCCTCCCTTCTTCCGCACGCCCCCACGCGCAGCACTCGCCCTTGCACACCCGTACCCACTCTTGACACTCGCCTGTTCATTCACGCTGTGCTGTAGCATTTGTCATTTCCGTTCATCCTCCCTTCCTCCTTTCTCTTTCCCCCTTCCCTGCGTTTCAGAACTCGCCTGCTGGAGAATCTTTCAAAGTTGCAGCACGCTCCCAGTGTGTCCATTCCCTTGCATCTCTTCCTCTTATCTCTTTCTCTCCCGCTCCCTCCCTCTTTTTCCCCTCTTCATCACCCTCGCTACTCAGAACTCGCCTGCTGGAGAATCTATCAAAGCTGCAGCATGCACCCAGTGTGCCCTTTCACACGCGTGCCCCTGACACGCAACTACCCGACGAGGTGAGTTGCATTCTTTCTCAGACCCTGCAAAAAGCCCGGCAAGAGCAGAGCACTTGCAGCATGCGCCCAGTGTGCCCTTCCACACGCGTACCCCCAACACACAATTACCCGACGAGGTAACCGACAATCACTTTCTTCGATCCACTTTCAGCACGCTCCCCGTGCGCCCTTCCACGCCCGTTCCCCCCTACACGCAATTACCTGACAAGGTAATCTACAAATTCAGATTTTGAGTCGACTCAAAAACCGACTCAGTGCGCCCTTCCACGCCCGTTCCCCCCTACACGCAACGCAATCACCTGACAAGGTAATCTACAAATTCGTTTGAGAATTTTCAAAAGTCACACTAATACAATCACCTGACAAGGTAATTTACAATTCCGTTTGAGAATTCTCAGAAGTCACACTAATACAATTACCTGCCAAGGTAATCTACAAATTCTCTTAGAAGACAAGGAGGTGGATGGAGATGCACCAGTTGTGCGTTCCCTTAACCATTGGTGCACCAGAAGGGCCAGCAGCAGCTGCCGTGAAGGAGGGAGGGAGGGCTGGGTGTGGGTGTGATATCATATTTTTCCCTGCCTCTTCCCCTCCCGTCTATCCATGTCAGGAGGAGGAGGAGCCTGATATTCGGCCAGAGGACAGGGAGGCGGATGGAGATGCGCCTGCAGTGCTGGAAGGACCAGCAGCAGCTGCCGTGAAGGAAGAAGGGAAGAGCGGGGGAGGCAAGGGCGCAGCAGCAGCAGGAGGAATAGGTGGGGCTGGAGGAGCAGCAGGGGGTGGGGTTGGAGGGGCTGTGACAGGGGAGGGGAAGAAGCGACCTCTACCCGAGGCTTCAGGGTGAGTGCTGTGTGGGATGAGTGCCAGTGCCAGGGTGAGTGCTTGCTGGGGGTTTTTATGGGTGCAGGTTTAGTCGCGCCCAACTGTTTGCCCACCTGTTATGCGCAAGCTGGAGTGACCACTGAAAGTAGAGCCTGCGTTATTGTCTTCTTGCCCATTCGATGCACAACAAACCCCCATCTCGCATCCGACCACTCTTCCCCCTCCAGTCATCACCCCACTGCTCGCCCACCCGGCAAGCCCAAGGTGGAATCGTCTGTCAAAGCAAAGCCTGCCTCCCTGCCTGTTCGTCCCTTCAACAAGCCCCTTCCGTCCCCCTTTCCTTCCCCTCTCCCACTTGCAGTCGTCCCCCCACTGCCCGCCCGCCCGTCAAGCCGAAGGTGGAATCGTTACTCAAAACCGAACCTGCTGCAATTCTGCTTGTTCGTCCCTTCAATACGTAGCAAGCCCCCTTCTCCCATTCCCCCCCTCTCCCCAATGCAGTCGCCCCCCCACTGCCCGCCCGCCCGTGAAGCCCAAGGTGGAATCGTCACTCAAAGCCGAGCCTGCTTCCACACCAGCTCGAACTGCCATACCTGCTGACAAGGTACGGTATTACGGCTGACAAGGTATTTCCTTACCGGATCTGGAGGCGAGGTTTGGTAACCCGACGCATGGTACCGTATTGCATGCCAGGGCCTGCTAACCTTGATGTGGTTTGCTTATTGCTTTGTCGATCAAGAAAGATTTTTCCTTCACCACATTTCACCATCCTCCCTCTCGGCCCCTCCTCCCCCCACCCCCCACCCCTCATCCGTGTTATTAATCCGGCAGAAGGAAGATTTGATTCACGGCAGCTCCCCGTCCACTCGTGGGCTGACACCTGGCGAGGCAGCTACAGGAGCGGCAGGGGAGAAGGGGAGTGAGAGAGGGAGTGAGAAGGGGTCTGGCAGTGGCTTAACCCGCAAGGCGTCTCCATACAGACAAGGGAACCTGGGTGACTAACGCGCTGCAGGAGAGAAGGGGAGTGAGAGAGGGGGTGAGAAGGGGTCTGGTCTGGTAGTGGTGCTTTTGAGTGACCCTGAGGAGAAGGGGTCTGGTAGTGGCTTATCCCGCAAGGCGTCTCCATACAGACAAGGGAGCCTGGGTGACTAACACGTCTGAGTTTACTAAATTGCCACGTTTGAGTTGACTTGTCACTTTTGAGTTGTCACTTGACTCAGTCAAGTGGCACTTCTGAGTGACCTAGAGGACAAGGGTTCAGGTCAGGTCACCCTAAACTCTGGCTTATCCCTAAAAGCCATCTCCATACATGCAAGGGAGCCTGGGTGACTACGCATTGATGTGCGTTGCATACCAGTAGCTGATCATTTTTTGGTTTTCATGCTTGGCACTCAGTCAATGCGCTGTAACTGTACTTTTTGGAGTCAAATTGATAAAGCATACACTAGATGGCGTTAAACTAAATGAAAAATGTATGACATTAATAATTGTTAGTTATATCCAGACGTGCGCCTGTAACTCAGTGGATAGAGTGTTCGCTTCCTAAGCGAAAAGTCCTAGGTTCGACCCCTAGCTGGCGCGAGTGAACGTATTTTTCCCTGTCACTACCACTGTCAGCTAATGCGCATCCATGAAATTTTCAATTTTTACTGGTAGAGGTTGAGCAGTGACCACACAGTGTTCCATTGGGTTTCTCTACTGATGTTATGCAGCACGTACCAGCTCAACTTAGCCTTGATTGTGCATCTAACCAGAATACCGTTAGCATGGATGATACAGCCAAACCTGATAAAAGGTTGGAAAGGCACAGTACACGTCAGGAGAACACAACAACGGAATTTGAATATCAACATACAACTTGTTGGAAACAATAAGTCCTAAGTGCGCTTCTGTCGTATCAAAACCCAAGGCACCAAGCGAAGCAGTCCCAATCGGAGCATCGAGTCAACCTCGGAGGTTAGGGTAACCGCCTGGAGGTTACGAGAAAGTCAAAGGTCGCTGACCTTTGACTCGACAATTACAGCGCGACAGTTAAGGACACACAACTGACTCGCTACAGAGCAGTTGCCCGAGTCGCACTGTATCGAACCGCAACAGCAATACAGTTATCTACATATCTATTCGTATTCCCTGTACTCTTATATAAATCCTTGTATTTGCTTGTTTAATTCAATCAACTTTGCTCTCACACACCAGTGCAAGGTCGGTTCAAATTCTTCACTAAACGCTTCCGCTATTACAACTACTTCACCTAAAGTTATCCCTTGCAAAGATCCTAAGGGGCTATCTCAGCCCAACATGGTATGAGAGCAGACAAGGGAAACTCTACTCCTTTTTCAAGATCATTACAAGACATGGCGACAAACAAGGAAAGGAGCTCCCCTAATGGCTCCTCGGGCACTACTCCTACTCCACCGCCAGCCTCTGGCCTGCAGACAGAAGAAGGCACGGCAACAAGACCAAGAGGAACGTCAACCGAAACCCCCATGAACCACCCTTCGGACTTTGACCAGAACATGATGGAGAAATTTTTCTCCTTCATGTCCTTCTACGAACAACACCAGCAGTCGGGACCTGCACAAACACACAACAGCAACAATGGAGCGACACCCATGAGTCTTGATGGGTCGTCATATGCGCGAGGAAACCAGCAGCAGCAACCTACCTTTGCTCCGTACGAGCGCGGGTCAATCAGCTTCGTGCCCCACCTGCAACCTTCACCTGGACAAGAAAGACCACTGGACGCACTTCAAGTTCAGTCGCAGTTTGCACACGTCTTAAAACTGCAAACGTCAAGACCCTTCGACGGCAAAGACTTCTTTACCTGGTCCTTTGAATTCGAGCTGATGATGGAGGGCGCGCAGATACTCGGCTTCTTCGACGGGTCCCTGCAGTATCCAGCCAACGGGACACAATATGAAAAGCAGCAGTATACGTATCAATCAATGATGGCGTATACAATCCTATTGAGGAACGTGACACCAACTCAGCAGCAGAACATTCGCTCTTACCGGACCTTCGGCAACTCGGCGGAGCTCGCGTACAGCCATCTGAAAAACCTGTATCAAGCAACAGACAGTGTAAACCAGAGCAGGTTAATGGCGTAGTTGACGACAGTTGAAATGAAACCAGGAGAAAAAGGACTGGCGTATATCAGCCGATGTCGCGAACTACGCGACAAGCTGCTTCGATGCGGAGGGTCAATCTCTGAAGACGCCTTCGTGACAGTCATCATTGGTGGGCTTGGTCCTCAGTGGCGCGCCACCAAAGCCATTCTTCGAGCCCACGGAAGAATCTCTGAAGCTGCACTCTGCGCCGAAATACATGCCGAGCAACAAGATATGGACCTGCAGGAAGAACGACACAGGAAGAAAACGACAGTATCAGAGTTCGCATTCCACACTCAACGACGACACAGCAATTATAACAACCGACAGCAGCAACCGAAGATAGTACTTCCTTTCTGCCACATCTGCAAGACTTCAGGGCACCCGCGCACACACTGCCCGAATCGTCAGCAATCAACGGCATCACAGCGACAACTTCGACCTTCAAGCTCCCAAATGGCTTCAACACAAGCAAGTGCGACGACCACTATTCAAGCTTCAACGACTTCACAACCTGCACGAGGAGCAAGAAACATAATCAACTGCATGACGAAGATAACCGATTCGTGTACAACCGAATCACCACCACACTACTCACCGGAAGAAGAGCTTGACAACAGAACGCCTCGCCGTGAGCTACTCCAGCCGAATCCAACGTACGCCGCCATCGCTCAAAGTGAACCGTCCGGCCAAGACACCTGGTTCTTGGACAGTTGCTGCGGGCAACACATGTGCTCGTCCGGGCGTTTCGTACAACGCGAACATCGACTCCAACGGGAAGTAATCATCACGGTTGCCAACAACCAAAACCTGCGCACACGAAGACAAGGAGTGGTACAACTTCAGTCAAGAGAAACAAACGTCATACTGCACATGTCTAAGGTACTCATCGCTGAAGGACTCGGCTACAACTTACTGAGCGTTAGCCAGTTGATGGCGAAAGGAATTCATCTGGAAGCCGACAGCACGACCCAGGAGTTCAAGCTTTACCACGGGAGAGGCGGTCTCTACATCGGAAAAGCAGTACTGAAGAACAACGTCTTCGTCCTCGACTTCGTTCCTGACCTCGGCACTGCAGACAGCGACGCCATCGTGAATTTCACTGATTGGACACACCCTCCGGATCTCGACCCCGACTTCAGCCCGGGAGGCTTCTGGTACTCGCACACCATTCCTGAAGCAGAACGAACACGAGCATTAGCAACAATTCGACAATCGGCAGCAGTAACAACATCGACATCAGCAGCAACAACATCAGCAGCAGTAACAACATCGGCAGCAGCAACAACATCAGCAGCAGCAGAAACAACGACACCAGTTACAGTCAACGAAGCAACACCAACACCCGCACAACAGCTGAATCCGACTCAACGTGAAGTCCACCGAAGCGCCAACCTCGTCGCCAGCTTTTACTCCAACTCCGACGCATATCAGCGTTCACCTGGACACCGCGCCTCTGAAGAGATCTGGCACGCACGAACAGGACATCCAAGCAACACGGTTTTGAATAACACGATAAGAGCAGGAGTCCTTGACAAAGATTCTCTACTTCTACCCGATGGCAGAGAACTCCAGAAGGCACGAGGGACTTGCCTTATATGTCCCGAAGCTGACTTACCTCATCGACCGTTTGCTTCACATCACAACCCGAGCGCTCCAGCGTACGCACCACTCGAAAAAGTCTACAGCGACATCCTCTACAATCGCGAACCAGGACAAGTCAACTACAACTACACCATCACCTTCATCGACGCCGCCACTCGATACGTCTGGCATCGCAACCTACCCAGCCGCGACATGGCACTCGCAGCATTCGCCGCCTGGCTACCGATAGCAGAGAGAGAGTCTGGAACACAACTAAAAAATTTTCAGTCAGACGGAGGTGGCGAGTACACCTCTCACCGCTTCAAGCAGTTCTTGGCGGAAAGGGGGATCAAGCAACTCCTCTCCCTTCCCTACGCACATCAGCAGCAAGGTGTTGCAGAACGACTGAACAGGACCCTGCAGAACAGCATGCGCAAACTGTTACGTGGCATGCGGCTACCCAACCACCAGTGGCCAGCAGCAATGGACCACGCTGTCATGCTACACAACTTGTTGTCGTCGTCGTCACTCCCGAACAACGCATCACCGCATCTGCTGTGGACAGGGAAGCAGGGCAGCACGAAAATGTTACGAGTTTTCGGGTGCATGGTACAGTACAGACCCCCAGAAGCACGAGCGGGAAGATTTTCGCAACGGGCACAGTGGGGACTACACCTCGGCATCGAGAAAAATTACAACGCATGGAGAATCTTCGACGTCCACACAAAGGAAACAGTAGCAGCACGTGACGTGATCTTCTACGAAAGACTCACCCTTCAGACGTACCTCGCCAACTTGCACGAGAATCGGGACCTCACCAGTGGTTTTCGTGGTGACCGAGCCTTCGCATCAGCAGCGGATGAAGCAGACTGGGACGAGCAGAATGTTGACAACGCATCGGCAGAAGCCGGACCTCTCCCGTACTGCTCCGTCAACGTGCCCATGGACGAAGAAAATCCTCGCGACAGTAACAACGCCGAAGTCTTCTACCACTTCGCCGACACCGGTTACGTAACACCTGTAACCGTCAACACAAATGAAGCAGAAAGGATAGGACCGAATTTCATCCCTGATCCAGAAGCGGGAGACGAAGCAGCTTATCCCGAGGATCCAGAACTCCCTCGATACTCACAGACTGGGCTGCAAATCCTCGGCCTCGTCACCGCAGTCCACGGGAACACACGCAGCTCGCTTCCTCAGGAGCCTGCAACGGTTCAGCAGGCTCTGGGGGGGGAACACAGGGAGAAATGGCGTGAAGCCATGGATAGAGAACTGAAGGCATTAGAGGAACGCAACACTTGGAAGGTTGTTCCCGTAAGCGTGGCACGGAACAAAACCATCCTTACCGGGAAATGGGTCTTCCGCATCAAGACGAAAGCAGACGGCACGATCGAAAAATTCAAAGCACGCTGGGTCGTACGTGGATTCGACCAAGAGCAAGGACGAGACTTCACCGAGACCTTTGCTCCAGTCAGCCGCCACACGTCACTCCGAATTCTCCTCGCCATTGCCGCCATGAAGAAGAAGAAGTTACGGCAGATCGACGTAGCGAATGCCTTCCTCTACGCACCTGTGGATGCAGAAATCTACGTCGAGCTCCCGCACGGTTCCCACGGCGAACCCAACCGAATCTGTCAACTACTTAAGTCGCTCTACGGGATCAAGCAAGCACCGCGACTGTGGCAGCAGTACCTGCACGCCCGTCTCATCCGCATCGGCTTTAGTCAACTACCTCACGACCAAGGCATGTACCGCCTCACTAAGGGAAGCGACTACGTTCTCCTGATCGTCTACGTGGACGATCTCCTCTACATTGGGTCGACCGACGGCATTGCCACGTGGTTCGAAGGAGAGCTCCAGAAAGATCTCACGCTCACGGTCTCCTCCACCGTTACACAGTACCTCGGGCTCAACATCCGCGAAGAAGAAAACGCCATCTATCTAAGCGCCGAGAAATACGCCGACACCATCGCGAAACGCTTCAGCCTCACACCAAGCGCCATCTCCACGCCTTACCGCTATACATCAGGAACCGAGAAGGAACGAACTACTCTACTCAAGCCCGCCGGCATACGCGACTATCAGAAGAAGCTCGGATGCCTGCTATTCGCCGCCGTCACCTGCCGCCCTGACTTATCCTACTCCGCAAGTCAGCTCGCCACCTATCTCAAGAAGCCTGAAGCTGAACACCTGGCGGAACTTGATCGCGCTCTCCACTACTTCGTCAGCACCGCGACGATCGGGCTAACCTACCACAAGAGCGCAGCTACACCAACTAAGCTAATCGGCTACGTCGACGCCGATCACGCCGGCGACACCGACAACAGGCGCTCACGCACCGGCTATGTCTACCGCCTTGAGCCTATCGGTCCTATCTCCTGGCAGTCGAGCAAGCAGGAGTTAATCGCACTATCTTCAGCAGAAGCAGAATATATTGCACTCTGCTCAGCCACCAAGGAGGGACTTTACCTTCGCGAACTACTGGAAGAAGCGAAGCTAGCCGAGTTACCCAGCTTCACCGTGTTCTGCGACAACCAGTCAGCAATTCGCATCGCCAACAAAAACGGCTTCGCAAACAGGACGAAACACATCGCCCTGCGCTATTTCTTCGTGAAGGACGAGATAGAAAAGGGGAAACTCGATCTGTCATACTGCCCAACATCCGAGATGGCAGCCGATTACTTGACCAAGAAACTCGGAAAGCAGAAGTTCGAATACTGCATGATGCTGACTGGACAAGGCCACGTCACCAGCAGCGACACTCCAGAAGCGAAGGGGAGTGTTGGAAACAATAAGTCCTAAGTGCGCTTCTGTCGTATCAAAACCCAAGGCACCAAGCGAAGCAGTCCCAATCGGAGCATCGAGTCAACCTCGGAGGTTAGGGTAACCGCCTGGAGGTTACGAGAAAGTCAAAGGTCGCTGACCTTTGACTCGACAATTACAGCGCGACAGTTAAGGACACACAACTGACTCGCTACAGAGCAGTTGCCCGAGTCGCACTGTATCGAACCGCAACAGCAATACAGTTATCTACATATCTATTCGTATTCCCTGTACTCTTATATAAATCCTTGTATTTGCTTGTTTAATTCAATCAACTTTGCTCTCACACACCAGTGCAAGGTCGGTTCAAATTCTTCACTAAACGCTTCCGCTATTACAACTACTTCACCTAAAGTTATCCCTTGCAAAGATCCTAAGGGGCTATCTCAGCCCAACACAACTCAGGGGATAGAACTATTGCATTGTGAGCGGTAACTCAGGTCTGGATTGGACTGAGACACGTATACGCTGCCCATGAGTCTGTTGCATTTGCAGCCCACCCATTGGTATACACAAACAACTCCACCACATTAATCCAGAGACTTGGCAGTAGTACCTATAACCACCAATACTCGTTCCATTAGGAATTAGTGACATTGCTACAATACGCTTCGTAACCCACGCTAGCTTTGCTCGAGTTTTGTCTGTCCAGGCATGCATACAACACAACATGTCATCTCCCTATCTTCAAAACATGTCTTTCTACACTACACATTCTACAATTGTCGGGTTTACCTACCCCTTATAGGGGCTATCCCATAAAGTTCACACATTGGTCCAATCGCGCACCACTAGCCGCTTCCCCCGGTGGATTGCCAGCCGCACGCGAGGAAGCTTCTTGCGGATTTCCCTCCACACCATGCTGACTGCGTCACCTGGTTGCGATGGGTACTGTGGAATGAGATGGCGTTGGAGCGAGGGGTAGGGGGGAAGGGGGGAGGGGGGGAAGGGGGAATAGAGGAGGGGTGGGAAACGGGTATTTTGGATAATGGGAAGGGAGGGGCACTTGAAACCCCACCTGGAACTCGAAGTGGCGCTTCACGCGCTGCAGGTTCTGCCACATGCGCAGCCACCTCTCCCTGGGGAATGAGCAAGCACGTCTACCTGAGGGATACGAGTCTACCAGCCTACACAAGTGTTACAGGGGACTTCATGACGCACCTGGAACTCAAAGTGGTGCTTCACTCGCTGCAGGGTCTGCCACATGCGAAGCCACCTCTCCCTGGGGAATGAGTGAGCACGCTACCAGACGAATACCAGCCTACACAAGTGTTTCAGGGGACTTCATTACACACCTGGAATTCAAAGTGGTGCTTCACGTGCTGCAGGTTCTGCCACATGCGCAGCCACCTCTCCCTGGGGAATGCGCGCAGCAGGCGCAGCAGGTAGCCCTGGCGCAGGGCGTCCTGGGGGAGGGGAGAGTGGGGGGAGTGGGGGATGCGCGCAGGGACAGCATTGGGGAATGCGTGTAGGGACAGCATTGGGGAATGCGCGCAGGGACAGCATTGGGGAATGCGCGCAGGGACAGCATTGGGGAATGCGCGCAGGGACAGCATCGGGGAATGCGCGCAGGGACAGCATCGGGGAATGCGCGCAGGGACAGCATTGGGGAATGCGCGCAGGGACAGCATTGGGGAATGCGCGCAGGGACAGCATTGGGGAAGGCGCGCAGGGACAGCATTGGGGAATGCGCGCAGGGACAGCATTGGGGAATGCGCGCAGGGACAGCATTGGGGAATGCGCGCAGGGACAGCATTGGGGAATACGCGCAGCAGGCGCAGCAGGTAGCCCTGGCGCAGGGCGTCCTGAGAGGGGGGAAGGGGGTACAGAGAGCAAGGGGGCAAGGGGGTAAGGAGTGGCTCATGGAATGCGCACAGCAGGTAGCCCTGGCGCAGGGCGTCCTGGGGGTGGTGGGTAGGCGGAGAGGGAGGAGGGGAATAGATGGGGTGGATGCATAGATGATGCATAGATGATGCACAGATGATGCATAGAGGGAAGGAGAGGATTGGGGAATGCGTGCAGCAGGCGCGGCAGGTAGCCCTGGCGCAGGGCGTCCTGGGGGAAAGAGAGTAGAGGGGGGCGGTGGAATACGATGACAAACAGGAGGTAAGACACAGCCCTGGGGAATGAGCGCAGCAGGCGCAGCAGGTAGCCCTGGCGCAGGGCGTCCAGGGGGAAGGTAGGTGGGGAGAGGGTAAGGGGAGGATAGGGGTCGGATGTACAACTAGGGGCACGGGACTCACCTCGTGCCACCTACACTCGGTCTTTCACACAAACACACAACTAGGTTTGGGGCACGGGACTCACCTCGTGCCACCTACACTCGGTCTTTCACACAAACACACAACTAGGTTTGGGGCATGGGACTCACCTCGTGCCACCTACACTCGGTCTTTCACACAAACACACAACTAGGTTTGGGGCATGGGACTCACCTCGTGCCACCTACACTCGGTCTTTCACACAAACACACAACTAGGTTTGGGGCATGGGACTCACCTCGTGCCACCTACACTCGGTCTTTCACACAAACACACAACTAGGTTTGGGGCACCTACACTCGGTCTTTCACACAAACACACAACTAGGTTTGGGGCATGGCCTCACCTCATGAGAGACAAAGAGAGTGAAGTCCGAGTAGTCTATGGACGTCTCAATGGGCAGCTCGATCTTGCTGCTGATCACCACGGGCACGCAGTGAGTGGCTGGCAATGGCAATGGCGATGAGACCGATTGGCACTCACCTCTCGAGACACACCCGGGTAACACCCAAGTCACACAGAGAGCGACTCACCTCATGGGAGACACAGAGCGTGAAGTCGGAATAATCTATGGTCGTCTCAAGGGGCAGCTCGATCTTGCTGCTGATCACCACGGGCACGCAGTGAGTGGCTGGCCATGGCACTCACTTCGTGCCACCTACACACGGTCTTTCACACCGACACACAACTAGGTTTGGGGCATGGGACTCACCTCATGAGAGACAAAGAGAGTGAAGTCAGACTAGTGTATCGACGTCTCAAAGGGCAGCTCGATCTTGTTGCTGATGACCACAGGCACGCAGTGAGAGACGATGGCACGCACCTCACCTCTCACACACACAAGGCGTTATACTGAAAGATGTCACCTCACCTCTCATAGTTTCGAGGCATGATTAAACTCACCTCATGGGAGACAAAGAGCGTGAAGTCGGAATAATCAATGGACGTCTCAAAGGGCAGCTCGATCTTGTTGCTGATCACCACGGGCACGCAGTGGCTGACGATGGCGTCAAAGAGGCGAGCAGACGAAGGGGTGTCCCCCGCTGCATTCAGACAGAAGCGCGAGTTTTGCAGCCCCTCTGCTGCCTGTGAAGGGGGGGAACGGAGAGAGGGGAGGGAAGGATGGAGGGAAGGAAAGAAGTGGAGAAGAGGAGGGAGTGAGCACGGGCACGCAGTGGCTTGTGATGGCATCAAAGAGGCGAGCAGACGAAGGGGTGTCCCCCGCTGCATTCAGGCAGAAGCGGGAATTTCTGAGACCCTCTGCTGCCTGTGAGTGAGGGAGGGAGGGGAGAGGAAGAAGGGACAGAGGGAAGGAAGAAATAAGAAAGGGAGTGAGCATGGACACGCAGTGGCTGGTGATGGCATCAAAGAGGCGCAACTTCCTGAGACCCTCTACTGCCTGGTGGTGGAGGGGAGAGGGAAGGAGGGAGAGAGGGAGTGCGCATGGGCACGCAGTGGCTGGTGATGTCATCAAAGAGGCGGGCGGACGAAGGTGTGTCTCCCGCTGCGTTCAGACAGAAGCGCGAGTTTCTGAGCCCCTCTGCTGCCTGTGAGGGAGGGAGGGCGGGGAGAGGAGGAGGAGGAGGGAAGGAGGAAATAAGAAAGGCAGTGAGCACGCGCACGCAGTGGCTGGTGATGGCATCAAAGAGGCGCGACTTCCTGAGACCCTCTTCTGCCTGGTGGTGGTGGGGAGAGGGAAGGAGGGAGAGAGGGAGTGACCACTGGCACGCAGTGGCTGGTGATGGCATCAAAGAGGCGAGCAGACGAAGGGGTGTCCCCCACCGCGTTGAGACAGAAGCGGGAATTTCTGAGACCCTCTGCTGCCTGGTGGTGGTTGGGAGAGTAGAGAAGAGGGCCGGAAGGAGGGAAGGAGGGAAGGAGGGAAGGAGGGAAGGAGGGAAGGAAGGAAGGAAGGAGGGAAGGGAGGAAGGAAGGAGGGAGGGAGTGAGAACCGGCATGCAGTGGCTGACGGTGGCGCCAAAGAGGCGGGCGGATGAAGGGGTGCCTCCTGCCGCGTTCAGACAGAAGCAGGATTTCCTCAGCTGCTCCTCTGCCTGTGAAGAGTTAAGGAGAGGGAAGAGAGGGTCAGCACGGGCATGCAGTGGCTGGTGATGGCGTCAAGGAGGCGGGCGGACAAAGGCGTGTCTCCCGCCGCGTTCAGACAGAAGCGGGAAGGAGGGAAAGAGTGGAGGTAAGGAGAGAATACGGACGAAGGGGCGTCTCCCGCCGCGTTCAGACAGAAGCGAGCCTTCATTAGCCCCTCTGCTGCCTGGTGGTGGGGAGGGTGGATGATGGGAGGGTGGATGTTGGGTTCGGTTGAGATAGCAGTTGCTGGCAATGGTGTCAAACACCCGCACTGTACCTTACCACACCACTCTGCACCACACCATGCAGCAGCCATACCGAGATGATGTCTTGTGGACCGGTGATCTTGCTCTCAACGAACCTCACGTCCGGCTCCTTGTGATACATGTCAAAGATGAGTTTGTGGATGTACCCCTCCTGCTCGAGCCCCATACCATACCATACCGCACCGTACCGTGCCGTACCGCACTGTACCACACTACACCATGCCACACCACAGCATGTGGTAGCCATACCGAGATGATGTCTTGCGGACCGGTGATCTTGCTCTCAACGAACCTCACGTCCGGCTCCTTGTGATACATGTCAAAGATGAGCTTGCGGATGTACCCCTCCTGCTCGTGCCATACCAGGAAGAAATGCAACACACCATGCCATGCCATGACAAGCCATGCCAGGAAGAAATGCAACACACCATGCCAGGAAGAAATGCAACACACCATGCCATGCAGGGGAAACAAAAGTAACACATGCCATGGCATCCCATGCCATGCCATACCATACCGTAGCCATGAGTATCCACAGAATGCCATGCCATATCACGCCATGATCCATTGCCATTCCCAAACACGAAACCAGGTGAGAGCAGGTGAGAGCAGGTGAGAGCAGGTGAGACAGAATCAAGGAGAATATTGACATCAATCTCTATGCACGAGGTGATGTTACCCATTGTCGACCCACATGTGTACCCAATGTGTTTCTGCAATCAGTTACTCTCCCACCCACCCATCCTCCCGTTACACTCACATCCTTCCTCATGATGGTCCCTTGGAAGAACAGCAGCGTCGTTCGCACCTCCCCATACCTCGCAAACTCTTCCTATGCCACACCCTTTCCCCATCCATACAGCCCCATTCAACATGCTCCCTCTCACCGCCCTCACACTCACATCCTTCCGCATGATGGTCCCTTGGAAGAACAGCAGTGTGGTTCGCGCCTCCCATGGCCCCTGCGCCTCCCCATAGCTCGCAGGCTCCGTGTAAGGCGGCACTATGTGGTTGTAGGGGACCACTATGTCCTTGCTCAGCCGGGCTACTCCTTGGGCGTATCTGGTAAGCGGGCGGGCAGAAAAGAACCAAGGGAAGGAGGGTTCCAAACTCTGTGTAAGGCGGCGCTATGTGGTTGTAGGGGACCACTATGTCCTTGCTTAAACGGGCTACGCCTTGGGCGTACCTGCATTGGGGGAATGGGTTTGTGTGGCAGCACAAGAGAACGCAGGCTCCGTGTAAGGCGGTGCTATATGGTTGTACGGGACCACTATGTCCTTGCTCAGCCAGGCCACGCCTTGGGCGCACCTGCATTGGGTTGGGGGGAAAGGTATGGTAGGGGAATGCACACTCTAAGTAAGGCGGTGCTATGTGGTTGTACGGGACCACTATGTCCTTGCTCAACCGCGCCACACCTTGGGCGTATCTGCATTAGAGAAATATGTTTCCTTGCTCAGACGGGCCACAACATGGTATATACCGGCCAAAGTCGAGCAGCAGGAACATGGCCGGGGCGAGGCGCTGGCGAATGTGGCGAAGCGCGTTGGGCTGCAGCATGGGGATGATGAGATCCCTGCCTCCCGAGTGACTCAGCAGAACACACTTCTGACTTTGTCTGACCCAAGGGAACGACCCAGTGAGACTTGAAGGAGGAGACAGTAAAGGGACGCACCGGCCGAAGTCGAGCAGCAGGAACATGGCCGGAGCGAGGCGCTGGCGAATGTGGCGAAGCGCGTTGGGCTGCAGCATGGGGATGATGTGATCCCTGCCTCCCGAGTGACTCAGCAGAACACACTTCTGACTTTGTCTGACCCAAGGGAACGACCCAGTGAGACTTGAAGGAGGAGACAGTAAAGGGACGCACCGGCCGAAGTCGAGCAGCAGGAACATGGCCGGAGCGAGGCGCTGGCGGATGTGGCGAAGGGCGTTGGGCTGCAGCATGGGGATGATGTGATCCCTGCCTCCCGAGTGACTCAGCAGAACACACTTCTGACTTTGTCTGACCCAAGGGAACGACCCAGTGAGACTTGAAGGAGGAGACAGTAAAGGGACGCACCGGCCGAAGTCGAGCAGCAGGAACATGGCCGGGGCGAGGCGCTGGCGAATGTGGCGAAGCGCGTTGGGCTGCAGCATGGGGATGATGTGATCCCTGCCTCCCGAGTGACTCAGCAGAACACACTTCTGACTTTGTCTGACCCAAGGGAACGACCCAGTGAGACTTGAAGGAGGAGACAGTAAAGGGACGCACCGGCCGAAGTCGAGCAGCAGGAACATGGCCGGAGCGAGGCGCTGGCGGATGTGGCGAAGGGCGTTGGGCTGCAGCATGGGGATGATGTGATCCCTGCCTCCCGAGTGACTCAGCAGAACACACTTCTGACTTTGTCTGACCCAAGGGAACGACCCAGTGAGACTTGAAGGAGGAGACAGTAAAGGGACGCACCGGCCGAAGTCGAGCAGCAGGAACATGGCCGGGGCGAGGCGCTGGCGGATGTGGCGAAGCGCGTTGGGCTGCAGCATGGGGATGATGTGATCCCTGCCTCCCGAGTGACTCAGCAGAACACACTTCTGACTTTGTCTGACCCAAGGGAACGACCCAGTGAGACTTGAAGGAGGAGACAGTAAAGGGACGCACCGGCCGAAGTCGAGCAGCAGGAACATGGCCGGGGCGAGGCGCTGGCGGATGTGGCGAAGCGCGTTGGGCTGCAGCATGGGGATGATGTGATCCCTGCCTCCCGAGTGACTCAGCAGAACACACTTCTGACTTAGTCTGACCCAAGGGAACGACCCAGTGAGACTTGAAGGAGGAGACAGTAAAGGGACGCACCGGCCGAAGTCGAGCAGCAGGAACATGGCCGGAGCGAGGCGCTGGCGGATGTGGCGAAGGGCGTTGGGCTGCAGCATGGGGATGATGTGATCCCTTCCTCAAGAGGTACATGCAGACTCGAAGTGACTCCTGACTCAGACCCAACTGAGCAGACCAGAGCAACTCACCGGCCAAAGTCGAGTAGAAGGAACATGGTCGAGGCGAGGCGCTGGTGAATGTGGCGCCTCAAGAGTACATGCAATCAGACTTTTGACTCAAAGCCAAGAAAAGCATCAAAGCCAACAGCAGTGAGACGCACCGGCCAAAGTCGAGTAGCAGGAACATGGCCGAGGCGAGGCGCTGGCGAATATAGCGCGTCAAGAGTGCAGACTCAATCAAGGTGAACTATGACTCAATCTCAAAAGAGAAGACATCAATCAAACCCACCGGCCGAAGTCGAGCAGCAGGAACATGGCCGGGGCGAGGCGCTGGCGAATGTGGCGAAGAGCATTGGGCTGCAGCATGGGGATGATGTGATCCCTGCCGCCCGACCGCTGCCACCAGGGGGACTCCTTGAGCACGCTCCACAGCTCCTCCTGTCGAACAGAGACAGACGGAAACACAGCAGTCGAAAGTGAGAACGCGTGCAACAGCAGCAGCGTTGGGCTTCCTGCAGCATGGGGATGATGTGATCCCTGCCTCCCAACCGCTGCCACCAGGGGGATTCCTTGAGCACACTCCACAGCTCCTCCTGTTAGGGACGAATGACAACGGAGGGACAGTGGAGTGACAGTGAGGAGGGATGTACTGCGCGTATGACAGCAGCAGCAGCGTTGGGCTTCCTGCAGCATGGGGATAACGTGATCCCTGCCTCCCGACCGCTGCCACCAGGGGGACTCTTTGAACACGCTCCAAAGCTCCTCCTAACACAGAGGAGCGGCAGAGGAGTGACAGTGTGATGGGGATGTATGATGTATACGACAGCAGCGGTTAAGGGCGTTGGGCTGCAGCATGGGGATGATGTGATCCCTGCCGCCCGACCGCTGCCACCAGGGGGACTCCTTGAGCACGCTCCACAGCTCCTCCTGTAGAGAGGGAAGGACGGCACAAAACAGAGGAGTGACAGCGAGGTGGGGATGTATTATGCATGCAACAGCAGCAGCGCTGGGCTTCTTGCAGCATGGGATGCTGTGGTCCCTCCCGCCCGAGCGCTGCCACCAGGGGGACTCCTTTAACACGCCGCACAGCTCCTCCTGCAGAGAGGGACGAAAGCGATGAGAGAGGATGAGAAGCAAGGAGAGAGAAAGAGGATGAGACCACATGGCGTTGGGCTGCAGCATGGGGATGATGTGGTCCCTGCCACCCGACCGCTGCCACCAGGGGGATTCCTTTAAAACGCCCGGCAGCTCCTCCTGCAGCGGGGGGAGAACACAGCAGGAAATGTAAGACAGGGATGTACGCTACAGGCTGCAGCAGCGTTGGGCTGCAGCATGGGATGCTGTGGTCCCTGCCGCTCGAGCGCTGCCACCAGGGGGATTCCTTTAACACGCCGCACAGCTCCTCCTGCAGAGAGGGACGAAAGCGATGAGAGAGGAAGGACGGCGTCACAGGGAAGCGTTGGCAACGTTTCTCATGGCAGCATGGCAGCATGGCAGCATGGCAGCATGGCAGCATGACAGCATGGCAGCATGACAGCATGGCAGCATGACAGCATGACAGCATGAAGACGATGTGAGTCTCTTCCCTGCATCCCGACCGCTGCCACTGCGGTAAATACCAAGTTCCAGCACGCCCCACGCTCCGCGTGATAGTAATATATTTTTGAGACGTCTCAAAACCAAGACAATGTGAGTCTCTTCCCTGCATCCCGACCGCTGCCACCGCCGCAAATCCCAAGCTCAGCACAGCACGCCTCACGCTCCACCTACCAAGACTTGCCCAACGCAACTGCAGGATTTTCCTATTTTCCGCGAGCGCCCTCATGCCATTGGTGGTGAAGATGTTGAGGCCGAGAAAATCCAAGTCAGTAGCAAGAGAATAATACATAGCCCAGCCAAACACACCCACCGAACCTTATTCAACGCACCTGGAGGATCTTGTCTTTTTCCGCCAGTGCGCCTCGCATGCCATTGGTGGTGAAGATGTTGAGGCCGAGAAAATCCAAGTCAGTAGCAAGAGAATAATACATAGCCCAGCCAAACACACCCACCGAACCTTATTCAACGCACCTGGAGGATCTTGTCTTTTTCCGCCAGCGCGCCTCGCATGCCATTGGTGGTGAAGATGTTGAAGCTGAGCGACGCCAGGAAGGGCACGAAGAACACATCCGCTGCAGCGGGATCCGTTACTCTTATAATGTCGCCGTTGCTCCTGCTGCTGTCAGTATGGTTGTTTGCCTGCTCAGGAGCAATGGGCAGCAGAGGGAAGCACAGAGCACGCAGTTGGGTTAGCAGGGCATGAAGAACACATTCGCTGCAGTGGGATCCGTTACTCTTATGATGTCGCCGTTGCTCCTGCTGCTATCAGTATGGTTGTTCGCCTGCTCAAAAAGAAGCACAGGGAGGAAATGCGGAAGCACAGGGGACACATGTGGGGTTAGCAGGGGGGAAGCGCAGGGGAGCAGAAGGACGCACAGAGAGGGGAAGCACAGGGGAGCACAGGGAGGCAATGAGGGAGTACAGGGGACACATGTGGGGTTAGCAGGGGGGAAGCGCAGGGGAGCACAGGGAGGCAATGAGGGAGTACAGGGGACACATGTGGGGTTAGCAGGGGGGAAGAACGCATGTCCCGCTGCAGCGGGATCCGTTACTCTTACAATGTCGCCGTTGCTCCTACTGCTGTCGCTGTGGCTGTTCGCCTGCTCAGGAGGAAGCACGGGGAAGGGAAGCACAGGGGAGCACAGGGAAGCAATGCGGAAGCACAGGGAAGCAATGCGGAAGCACAGGGGACACATGTGGGGTTAGCTGGGGGGAAGCACAGGGGAGCAGAAGGACGCACAGGGAAGGGAAGCACAGGGGAGCAGAAGGACGCACAGGGGAGCAGAAGGAAGCACAGGGGAGCACAGGGAGGCAATGAGGAAGTCCAGGGGGCACATGTGGGGTTAGCTGGAGGGAAGAACACATGTCCCGCTGCAGCGGGACCCGTTACTCTTATCATGTCGCCATGATTCCTGCTGGTGTCGAAGGGGGGTTGGGTAAGGGGAATCCGGCAGGGTATGCTTACAGTAGGTTGTACGCGATAGAGAATTCGAACAGGGATGGCGAAAGGGCAAGGGAGGGGCGGAAGGGAAGGGGGGGGGCTTTTGAGACGTCTCAAAAGTCTTACAGTAGGTTGTACGCGATAGAGAATTCGAACAGGGATGGCGAGAGGGGAAGGGAGGGGAAGAAGGGAAGCGGGGGAGGGAAGATCGGGGCGTGGGAGTAGAGAGCAAGGTCACGGGAAGAGAAAGGAGGGGTGTTGGGGGGAAGGTAGGGGGGTTGGGGGGAGATGTGAGGTGGGGATTTGGGGACGGGGGGGTGTAGAGAGGAGGGATACGGCATGTACACTCACCAGTATGTTATAAACGATGAAATATTCGCCGCTATGTTCGAAGCCCCGTCCGGACACCCCTCCGTTCGCCTTCCTCTGATACCGCAGCTGAGGATGACTTCTGAGTCAACTCATTAAAAAACTCAGTGTATGCTTACCAGTAGGTTGAAGACGATGAAATATTCGCCGCTGTGTTCGAAACCTCGTCCGGACACCCCTCCATTCGCCTTCCGCTGATACCGCAGCTGAGGAGCTTCATCAGCGCTAAAAGGCAAGCTCTCGAGCTCCTTATGTCGAAACAGCCCGAAATTGAACTTCTGATGCAGATCGTACACAAACACCTTCAACGGCCCCTCTCCGCATATTCTCCTGTCGGACACCAAATTCTCCGCTACGGGAACATTCGATTGTAGAACATTCACGTTCCCCTCCCCGAAATTCGAATTTCCGGATAAATACGAAGTTGATGAAAGAGACCTCCGGTCAGATGCTGCTACCTCTTTCCTGGTTCCATCTTCCATGGATTCCCTCTTTACGATTGTCTCATCTTCCTCAGCCTCCATCTCGACCACATCGATCCCGTGAAGCAGCCTCTGCGTTGGATCTTGCGCATTCCCAGGAATCAACGGCTGCGGATCTTCAGATTTTCCAGTGATTCGCGGCTTCGGACCCTGGGAGTTCTCAGAAGGAAACTGCTGTGAAAACTCCTCCTGCGTCCGCGCATTGCTTGCTGAGTGCAGATCCGATCTCAGAAAAGCATCCCCGCTTGAAGCTGACACGCTACTGCGTTGCAAGCCCGCCGGTCGCGGCTGAAGATTCACATCTTGTAACGAAGGGCTCACTATCGGATTCACGTCGAGCGTGGCGGTATCCGGGATGTCGTACCCGATCTCGCTACTTTGAAGCGAATTTGATAATAACGAGAGGACGGAGGTGAAGGAGATGACAAAGGCGGTGCTCCAAAGACCGCTGCGCACCAAACCCCTCATAGGGAGCTTTCTTGATTGCTCGCAAATGCAAAGTAAACTGACCGCAAAAAAAAGGAAGAGAGATGTACTGTTCTGTGTTGGTCTCCTTTAGAGTCTTTATGAATGAATTGAGGCAATCGTCGTTCAGATTTCCCCGTGCAAGCTTGGAGTGTAGATTGAATCAGCAAGGAGCACAACTCTAACGTCGATAGTCGCAACCCCGTCGTGTTCTGTACATCAGGCACGCAGCTCATGCGCGGGCGAAGACTAAATCTGTATTTAGATGCTGATGCTTGAAAGTACCCTTCACCAAGTACTAGCGACAGAACACGATTCGAATTCGACCATGCCTGGTTGATTTGACGCAACGAAACGGCGACTTACAGAACACGAAACGGATCACATTACCAGAAGAAACCTTACTGATGCATCCCCTGCAATCGTGCTAGCATTACGCAGACACACGTGAACGAGCAGATCAGCTATAGCTGGAACTGACGCTGGATGACCAAACACACCGCCAAAGCAGCAGGAATTCTGAAAAGACCAGCGCGATTCGTCCCTGGCTTGGTCGGTCATCCTGCCATTGTCTGACAAAACTCTGATATGACAGCAGCTGATAGGCACGTGGAGGGAGCTCGCTTTGGAATTGGTACGAAAGCCTGTTTTCCCCTACAACCTTTCTAAAACGCTCTAAAACCAACCAAATGAAACCAAGATATGGTGATCCCTGGGATTCACGAGGATGGGGGAGAGGGAGTGTTGATGGCGCAGGAAAAGGAGGGGAGAGAAGGGGTGTCGGCGTGTTTCGCATCTGTTTACTCAGTTTGAGTCGGTTTCTTAAGAGGGCAGAGGGAGCCGCGCCCAGCTCGCAGGGAGCCACGCCCAGCCCCACTTGGCTGAATAACGTTGACACCCACTCTAGGTCCTTGACGAAGCTAGCAGAAGTTGAAACTGTAACCCCCAGGCTTCGAATGTCTGAAGAGCCTGACTGCTGGTTCGGAACCAATCACAGAAACGCAAAATCAAGAACCAAGAATCGTCGAGCCGGTCTCAGCAAGCACAAAACGGCGGGAAGGGGTTTGTGCGGCAAGTCCGTCTGACAAGCTGTAGCAGTGTCACACTGACACCGTGTGAAGCGAAACAGGGTTGCAGGCTGTACCCTGACCTGCTTGCTTGAAACTGTGCGAAACTCACGCGAACTCCACTCTGATCATACGAAGAAGGGAGAAGATCATACAAGGGCCGAACAGTGCCATGGAGGTGTTCGAACAAGGACCAAGAGGTCCGGAACTAACCAAACCACTGCTTTAAAAGGTGTTTGCAGAGGGGTGTCATTTATTGAACGTATGTCTGTTAACAGTTTGCATTTTTCGCTCGCGCGTCATTTTACATTGAAATGTTTACTGATTCATCACCTTCCAGCCAATAGCGTCGTTTAGCAAGCCGGAAACTCTTAGGGCAGCCAAAAAAACTAAAACCCCAAGGGGAACCTGGATGCATTTTCGGGATGGATCAACGCTAAAAACGGGAACCTCAGTTGTGTTCAGGGTTGATGCCTCCCTAGTCGCATCCATTTCCGAATGGGTAATATTTTTTTTTTTCTGTGCGTTTCCGATCAGGGAGTGATATTTATCACCCATAATGAATTTGTTTTTGGACTCACAATTAACACAGCAATATTTACTTCCAGAAGAGCGCGATGTGCGCGTAGTAGTAGACGGTGGTCGTAACCAATTTTTTCAGTAAGTTGGACACAAAGTTTGGTGCTGGTAGCTTTTCTCTTATAGTCACGGCTCGGCTTGTTCGCCTAGCCTCTTGGGCAGCTCGGGGTCGAGATCCCACAGTCGAGATTTTCTGGCCCTACTTTGATCGTCTCTCTGGCACTCTTCGGCCCCAGTTCGATCGTTTCCCTACGAAGAAACGCATTTGAAAGCTGCAATCTCCGCAGCTCCTTGACCATACCACAGTGACGGATGAAAGCCGAACCACAACCCTAACCTCTTGCTGGTCCCATGGCGAGCCAACACGAGGTCAAGGGACAACAACACTGTGTGTGCTTGATCCGAAACACAATGAGTAAAAAAAAATAAGTCGAACTCGCAACAGCACTAAGGGCAAGTTCCTACGTTCTTGTCAGGCAAACCTCTTGTCAGCCTTGCCTGGTAAAAGTCGCGAGGGGTTTCAGGTTTATGAAATTTTCAGTGTGTTTTGACGCGAGCTTGATAAGAGGTTGGCCTGATAAGGGGCCGTAAGAACATGCCCTAAGTTCTGAGAGTTGAAGATTGCAGTGAACGAAAACATCCAGTGCATATCCAAATCTACTCATCCCCATCCTTTCCTGCATCATCTCCCTTCCTCTCGGGGCTCCCTCCCCCATCTGCATCCTGCATCGGAGACCTCTTAGGTGACCCACCATCACGAGGGCTAGCACTCCTGGCAGGACTAGCACTCCTCCTGGCAGGACTAGCACTCCTCCTGGCAGGACTAGCACTCCTCCTTGCAGGACTAGCACTCCTCCTGGCAGGACTAGCACTCCTCCTGGCAGGGCTAGCACTCCTCCTGGCAGGGCTCTTACTCCTGCTCTTGCTCCTCTCCTTACTCGCACTCCTGCTCCGCCTAGGACTCTTCTCTTCCTTCTTCTCTGCACTGGGGCTCCGGCTGTTCCTCCTCTCCTTGCTCGCGCTCCTGCTGCGGCTGCGGCTGCGCGAGGGGCTGCGGCTTCCGGCCTTCTTCCCATTCTCCCGATCCTTCCCGCGCTCGTTGCTCCTGCTCCTGCTGCGGTCCTTGGCGCGGTCGTTGCTGCGGCTGCGGCTCCTGCTCCGGCTGCGGCTCTTGCTGCGCTCGTCCCTGTCCTTGCTGTTGCTGCGGCTGCGCCGGTCACGCCCACGGCGAGGGCTGGTTGGAGGAGAAAGCGAGAAAACAAAAAATACAGGAGAAAGAGCCCACGAACAGGGGGATTAACATATGATGCACAAGTGATGAATAAGCATCAGTGCGAGAAGACCATTAGTGCTTCACGGCGATACAGGGGAACAAGCAGAAGGCTTGGGAAAAAAAGAAACGAGGCCAGAAGAAAGGTTTAGAACAAACGTGATACCTGCGGGAGCGGCTGCGGCTGCGAGACCGATACCTGCACCGGATTCACACAACAGAAAGAAAACACCGTGAGTGCTTTTGAGAAAAATAAATAACCGATACCTACGCCGGGTTCACACGACAGAAAGCAAACACCGTGAGTGCTTTTGAGAAAACTAAATAACCGATACCTGCACCGGGTTCACACGACAGAAAGCAAACACCGTGAGTGCTTTTGAGAAAACTAAATAACCGATACCTGCACCAGGTTCACACAACAGAAAGCAAACACCGTGAGTGCTTTTGAGAAAACTAAATAACCGATACCTGCACAGGGTTCACACGACAGAAAGCAAACACCGTGAGTGCTTTTGAGAAAACTAAATAACCGATACCTGCACCGGGTTCACACGACAGAAAGCAAACACCGTGAGTGCTTTTGAGAAAACTAAATAACCGATACCTGCACCAGGTTCACACGACAGAAAGCTAACACCATGAGTGCTTTTGAGAAAACTAAATAACCGATACCTGCACCGGGTTCACACGACAGAAAGCAAACACCGTGAGTGCTTTTGAGAAAACTAAATAACCGATACCTGCACCAGGTTCACACGAAAGAAAGCAAACACCATGAGTGCTTTTGAGAAAACTAAATAACCGATACCTGCACCGGGTTCACACGACAGAAAGCAAACACCGTGAGTGCTTTTGAGAAAACTAAATAACCGATACCTACACCAGGTTCACACGACAGAAAGCAAACACCATGAGTGCTTTTGAGAAAACTAAATAACCGATACCTGCACCGGGTTCACACGACAGAAAGCAAACACCGTGAGTGCTTTTGAGAAAACTAAATAACCGATACCTGCACCGGGTTCACACGACAGAAAGCAAACACCGTGAGTGCTTTTGAGAAAACTAAATAACCGATACCTGCACCAGGTTCACACGACAGAAAGCAAACACCATGAGTGCTTTTGAGAAAACTAAATAACCGATACCTGCACCGGGTTCACACGACAGAAAGCAAACACCATGAGTGCTTTTGAGAAAACTAAATAACCGATACCTGCACCGGGTTCACACGACAGAAAGCAAACACCGTGAGTGCTTTTGAGAAAACTAAATAACCGATACCTGCACCAGGTTCACACGACAGAAAGCTAACACCATGAGTGCTTTTGAGAAAACTAAATAACCGATACCTGCACCGGGTTCACACGACAGAAAGCAAACACCGTGAGTGCTTTTGAGAAAACTAAATAACCGATACCTGCACCAGGTTCACACGAAAGAAAGCAAACACCATGAGTGCTTTTGAGAAAACTAAATAACCGATACCTGCACCGGGTTCACACGACAGAAAGCAAACACCGTGAGTGCTTTTGAGAAAACTAAATAACCGATACCTACACCAGGTTCACACGACAGAAAGCAAACACCATGAGTGCTTTTGAGAAAACTAAATAACCGATACCTGCACCGGGTTCACACGACAGAAAGCAAACACCGTGAGTGCTTTTGAGAAAACTAAATAACCGATACCTGCACCGGGTTCACACGACAGAAAGCAAACACCGTGAGTGCTTTTGAGAAAACTAAATAACCGATACCTGCACCGGGTTCACACGACAGAAAGCAAACACCGTGAGTGCTTTTGAGAAAACTAAATAACCGATACCTGCACCAGGTTCACACGACAGAAAGCAAACACCATGAGTGCTTTTGAGAAAACTAAATAACCGATACCTGCACCGGGTTCACACGACAGAAAGCAAACACCATGAGTGCTTTTGAGAAAACTAAATAACCGATACCTGCACCGGGTTCACACGACAGAAAGCTAACACCGTGAGTGCTTTTGAGAAAGCTAAATAACCGATACCTGCACCGGGTTCACATGACAGAAAGCAATCAGAGAGAAGACCATATGTTTTTGAGAACTCTAAGAAAAGCCTATACCTTCACCGGGATTGCACAACAGAAAGCAATCCAAAGAACACCTCTCTGCAGGGCTGCTCCGACAGTCCCTCTCGATGTGCCTGCGCCCACCGCAGCGGTAGCAATTGCCACCCCAGTAACCATTGCAACAGTCCCACACAGCTCTAACATCTGCGATTCCCAGACCAACACACACCCAGCGCACCTCTAAGCCAAACTGTTCCGGCAGTCCCACTCGATGTGCCCGCGCTCCCCGCACCGATAGCACTTGCCGCCCCAGTCCCCATTACAGCAGTCCCTCACAACAGCTGAGAAACCCAACAGGCCCAACACACCTCTGAGCCAGGCTGTTCCGGCAGTCCCTCTCAATGTGCCCACGCTCGCCGCACCGGTAGCACTTGTCACCCCAATCCCCATTGCGGCAGTCGCGCGCCCAGTGGCCGTCCTTGCCTCAGATTGCCCCAGTCACCTCTAAATTTTTCTCCCAATTCCTGCTCTAGGACACCTAAGAACTCTCACCTCTGAGCCGGGCTGTTCCTACAGTCCCTCTCAATGTGCCCGCGCTCGCCGCACCGGTAGCACTTGCCGCCCCAATCGCCGTTGCGGCAGTCGCGCGCCCAGTGGCCGTCCTTGCCGCAGTTGTAGCAGCGCCCCTGCGTGATGCCCATCCCCCCCATGCGCGGCCCCGGCGGACCCCCAAAGCCCTGCCCACGCGGACCCTGGAGGGAAGGAAACGGGCAGGGAGGAGGGGGTGGGAGGTGGGGGTCGGGGGGGGATGGAGGGGGAAAGGGAGGGGTTGGAAGGTGGGAGGGACGGGTTGGCAAAAGCGGTCAGTGGGGAAGGGGGGAGAACGGGCGGAAGGGAGAGAAGGGGCGCAGAGGGCAGTCGCGCGCCCAGCGCCCGTCCTTGCCGCAGTTGTAGCAGCGCCCCTGCGTGATGCCCATCCCCCCCATGCGCGGCCCCGGCGGACCCCCAAAGCCCTGCCCACGCGGACCCTGGAGGGAAGGAAACGGGCAGGGAGGAGGGGGTGGGAGGTGGGAATCGGGGGGGACGGAGGGGGAAAGGGAGGGGTTGGAAGGAGGGAGGGACGGGTTGGCAAAAGCGGTCAGTGGGGAAGGGGGGAGAACGGGCGGAAGGGAGAGAAGGGGCGCAGAGGGCAGTCGCGCGCCCAGCGCCCGTCCTTGCCGCAGTTGTAGCAGCGCCCCTGCGTGATGCCCATCCCCCCCATGCGCGGCCCCGGCGGACCCCCAAAGCCCTGCCCACGCGGACCCTGGAGGGAAGGAAACGGGCAGGGAGGAGGGGGTGGGAGGTGGGGGTCGGGGGGGACGGAGGGGGAAAGGGAGGGGTTGGAAGGAGGGAGGGACGGGTTGGCAAAAGCGGTCAGTGGGGAAGGGGGGAGAACGGGCGGAAGGGAGAGAAGGGGCGCAGAGGGCAGTCGCGCGCCCAGTGCCCGTCCTTGCCGCAGTTGTAGCAGCGCCCCTGCGTGATGCCCATCCCCCCCATGCGCGGCCCTGGCGGACCCCCAAAGCCCTGCCCGCGCGGACCCTGGAGGGAAGGAAACGGGCAGGGAGGAGGGGGTGGGAGGTGGGAATCGGGGGGGACGGAGGGGGAAAGGGAGGGGTTGGAAGGTGGGAGGGACGGGTTGGCAAAAGCGGACAGTGGGGAAGGGGGGGAGAACGGGCGGAAGGGAGAGAAGGGGCGCAGAGGGCAGTCGCGCGCCCAGTGCCCGTCCTTGCCGCAGTTGTAGCAGCGCCCCTGCGTGATGCCCATCCCCCCCATGCGCGGACCTGGCGGCCCCCCAAAGCCCTGCCCGCGCGGACCCTGGTGGTTGGACGGGCGGAAGAGGAAGGGGGGAGGAGGAGGGGTGGGAAGTGGAAAGAAACATTGGCCCCAAGGAGACAGGACGGAGTCAGTACAGATTAGTCGAATCAGACCAAAACAAATCAGACCACCAATCATATACTGTTTGAAATGAAGCACGACTGGATGCGACTGGCTTTGCGCGTAAATGACATTTACAGCCAGTTGCCTCGACTTGAACATAGGTTTGTAGATGTCATTCAAGAACAGAGTCCATTGCCACCATTCGTGCTTCTTTTGAGTCGACTCAAAAGCAGCACGATTGGTGGCAATGGACTCTGTCCTTGAACCTGCATCTACAGCCAAGACACCCAACGCACTACATGCGTCCACGAGTGAACTCCACGATGATGTGACTGCCGTCCACGTCCTTACATTCAGATACGATTATGAAGGCACGTAGAACACACCCCTACATTGCAGCTACAGGCAACAAAGCAACGTACCCGGCGAGTGAACTCCACGATGATGTGACTGCCGTCCACCTCCTTGCGGTTGCGCAGAAACGTTCATAAAGGTGCGTTAATACCCTAGATGGCAGCTCAGGCAAGACAGCCAACCCAGCGTACCCTGTATTGAGACATCACAAAACAGGAGACCTTACTTACCCTGCAAGTGAACTCCACGATGATGTGGCTGCCATCCACGTCCTTGCTGTTGCGCAAGAACGATCATAGAGGCGCGTGAAAACTCTAGACGACAGCTGCAGGGAAGAAACCCAGCGTACCCTGCAAGTGAACTCCACGATGATGTGGCTGCCGTCCACGTCCTTGCCGTTCAAACACAATCATAGAGGCGCGTAGCACACACCCCTACATTGCAGCTACAAGCAGGAGAGCAACGTACCCTGCGGGTGAACTCCACGATGATGTGGCTGCCGTCCACGTCCTTGCCGTTCAGATAATGGGCGGCATCTTCAGCATCCCTCGAGTCGCTGAATTCCTGTACGGAACCGAACAAGCACAAGGGGGACGAAGAGGGAAGGGGGGGGAAGGGGGGAAAGAGGGGGGGATGGGGGCAAGAGGGGGAGCATATATATTCACGAGTGCACTGCGTCTTTTGCGTTCCTCGAGTCGCTAAATTCCTGAACGGAAGAGAACAAAACAAAAACGCCCAGACTCAGCAACTATTCAGTATTCATCTAAACCACACGTGCCCCACGCCTTCATGCAAAAAAAAACAAACAAACAAACAAACAAACAAAAACAAAAAAACGGAGAGCGAAGTGGGGAGAAATGCAGGAGAGTGACGGGAAGGAAGGGACGAAAGTGAGGGGGGGCTAACGAGAGCGGAAGCAAGAGTGGAGGTCCGGGTATACGTCATTTGCAAAGGTCATCAACAAAATTACCACAGGAGTTTTGAAGAGCAGAGTCAGAAATCAACAGGAAGGCATTGTGAGAATGCTAAACAAACCGCAAGTATCAAAATAGAGCCTCATATCCAGGCTTTTACGCACAATGAACGCATAGTCACGCTTCATGTCCACGTCACGAATCCTGCATGCAAGAGAGACAGGGGGAGAAACAAGGAGGAAAGCGAACACACACGAAAAAAACGAGCCGGAGGGAGGGGAGGGGAAGGAGGGAGAGCGAGAGAGGTTTTACTAAAAAGGCAGGGCGAGCGAGAAGCAATAGACGGCAACAAATCTAGCTCAACAGACAACAGGAGTTTAAATGGGTGACGCCGCTTCATCTGCTGAGGAGGGGAGAACATTTCAACAGTCGTAACACACCCACCCACCAGCAAACTCCCAAACAAAAGACTAAAGCAGGCACCGAAACCGCACCAAACCACACCATACCGCACTGTAAGAGTCGAACAAGCCCCACGAAGCTGCGTTGAAAACCGTCCGAACCAACACGCACGCGCAACCTCGCGAACCCGCGCTTTACCCCGCGCGCGAGCGACATCCCCGTTAAAACGCATCGACTCGATAAGCGCTACGCGTCCCCGCAATGACGCAAGATCGCAAGAGCCCGGAAGCCCGCGAGAACGCGCGAAACCGCCCGCGAAGCGCATACGACGGCGATCAGCCCGCGCGCGGAAAGCGAAAAGCATCTTCGCGCGATTTTCGTCCGCAAATGCTTCCAAATCATCGCAGCGAATTGCAGCAAGAACGGAACCGATGTTGCAACGGGAAACACCGAAAACCGATCGCAACCACCGCGACCGTGAAGCACCCGGGAAAGCACCAAGATCGCGCGAGACATGCACTGTGAGGCGACCCACGCGCGCTTCACCCGTCGTGAACATCACCCGAATCGCGTTTCACCCCACGTTTCACCGGATTCGCGTTTCAACCGATGCGCATTTCACCAGAAGCTACAGTACCGACGCGACCGCCAGCCGAAAACCCGACAACGCACCCCGCACGAGCGAATAAAGGAAAGCAATCGGGTCGTGGATGTAGATTGGAGAGAAGGGAGTCTAGGTCATGGTCACCATGAGCATGAGAATGAAGGATGTGCAAGGGAGGTTAGCGGTCAAGGTCCGTATGGGTCAACGTCTGTATAGTTCAACGTCCGTATGGTTCAACGTCCGTATGGTTCAACGACCTTGAGCATGAAAGTTAAGGATGTGCAAGGGACGTTAGCAAATAGATGATCCCCGGTCAATGACCTTATGATTTGAGACTTCAAGGGTCAACGGTCTCATCGGAACCATTTCATCAGTAATAAGACAAGGTGCATCAGGTTAGACACAGAACTTACCTTCCGTATTTCCCGAAAAGCGACTCGAGATCTCGAGTGCGAGTCCGCGTGGAGAGACGACCAACGTAAAGCCGAGCGGAAGTCTGGTACCCGCCTCCACCTCCCCTGTAGTCGCCTCCCCTATAGTCACCTCCCCTGTAATCGCCTCCATAACGTGAGCCGCCGGACCGACTGACCACAGCAACAATTTCATACAAACGAAGAAGCAACAACCATACAACATGAATCAAGACGCAAAAACGATCCCACATAACCAACAGATAAAAGCGATTCGACAGCAATCAGTACCATAGCATTCACGAGAATCTCATGCCTCTCTGCTAGACCACAGGCAACTGAGGCAATCTCTTGTAAGGAACCACAGATTGCACGAGATCGTGGTAAACTATGGCACTAAATACGATTTTGGACATGCAAAAACAGCTTTTGGAACATATAGAAAGTATAAAGCTCTGGTCACATGCATATCCGCAGGGAGTATTGGTCCGACAAAGCACAGGACGAATTACTCACTACATGGCAGCGGCGAGCAAGCAGGATCAGGAAAGCGCCAATCTCAGCAGCTGCCTAGCTGCTCCGCTGTGCCGTCTCTGTCTCCCTTCTTGTGACTGCTCCCCACCAGATCTAGCCGCCGAGTTACTGGCAAAGAGCCAGCGCTATCACAGGAAAAAGCCTGAAACAGGAAAAAGCAGATGGTTCAGCCCAGTACGAAACCCCAGCTGATCCATCCAACATCAGAGTAGGATCTTTCGCTCTAGTTCGCATATCCGCTGGAATTTCACGTCCGAAACTTTCGCAAATTTCCCGTCAGGGCTGAAGATTGCCCGATTGCACAAGCTGGTTACCGCGTAAAACCTGTCTCATCCTTCGATAACTGGGAGATAGCGATGCCTGGGGGGCGAGCGAAGAAAATCCCAGAATAATATGCAAGACGGACAAGTTACGCGTTGATAACCACAAAATCTAAACATCTGTAAATCGGTTGAGAACAGCCTTATCATGAACATCCTGCTTTCTCCACCATCCCTGGCTGTACAAATAGGGTAGCTTGCACCATCTAACACTCCATGCTAGACTAGAATGGAGGATCTCACATCAGCAGCAAAGGTAGCCAGTCCACAATACCCTATCAATGCACAGTAGCCATGCACTAATGGGTGCACACAAGCCATGCACACCCCTTCAGAAGTCCACTTAGCCACACCACCATAACTTTTCATTATTACTATAAGCTAGTCCATCCCAGTAGCAGAAGTTGGCTTGCGAGCCCTAAGGCCAGTATCGTAGTCCACTGGATCCCCCAATCCCGTGATCTTATCTCCCAGCTCCCCTGAGGAGTACGAGGAGGTGGATGCTGTGGAAGCAGCAGGCTGGGCGGCAGCATGCTGCTGCAGGGGGATGAGGGATAGAAAACATGGGAAAAAACACAATCAGGCAACAAACACTTATCAGCCAGTAAATGTTCCCCAATTCTGAGTTCAAACTTCCAGCTCCCCAGAGGAATACGAGGAGGTGGATGCTGTGGAAGCAGCAGGCTGGGCAGCAGCATGCTGCCGCGGGGGGGATGTGGGATAGAAAGAAAGGGAAACAAAACATTCAGGCAAAACCACTTTCCAGCTATTGATTCAATGGCTGTGCCAGACAGTGAGGAGGTCAATGCTGTGAAATAGCAGGCTGGGAAAAAAACATAAGGACATTTCATGCAACAACAAAGGAAATGCAATCCGTGAACAATGTGAATGCAGCTGGCTGGGGTGTGGAGTCCTGCTGAGTAGAGGCTTTTGCTGGGAGTGGCATAAAGCGAGTGATGGGAACAGGGAGATTAGGAGAGAAAGCAAGGTGGTAATGGTAAACGAAGGGGAAAACGAAGAGATTCTATGGGAGGGGGTAGAAGCGTCAGAGTGAGAAGTAGCTTGTTGTTGTAACGTTGTGCGTGATGAAATGAAGAAACTAGGCTGTTCAAATGGGAATCAGCTTGGCGAGCTCAAGCCATTGGCACCCAATAACTAACAAGAAAGAAAATCATTTCCGACGGGAGGTCATGAAAGGAAAAGGCAACGGAGAAACTTAGTTCCTGCTACCTTGACTGTGGAAAACGCGCTGTGATATGGGTGATGGGAGGCCGTGAGGGACAGGGAAGGAGGGACGGCTGATTGTGGGCTGTGCACGTTCACGTGAGACAAGACGTCAGACACCGGTACTCACCATCCTTGCACATGCACGCGTCGCTCACCTCATAACATCCCTCACCTGGCGATGGATGTGAAGCTCACTTGGCTTATGCGTTGATTTTTTTCTTGCTTGAAGACTTCCGTTCAGCTGGTACCGTTCTCTCCCTGACAACAATATCGCTAAGATGGTAATTTCGCTCGCATGATTGAATTTCGTTCACCTGGTAGCGTTCTCTCACCTGGCAACGTTTCGCTCCCCTGCTAGCGCTTCGCTCGCCAGTCAACATTTTGCTCACCTGGTAACGTTCGTAGACTTTAGGGGCAGCCTCAGCGCCCGCCTTGGCAAGAGACATGATCTTAGATGCGAGAATGCGAGAGTACTCAACGGCCAGATCCATTCCACGTGTCTGCACCTCCGCGATCCTGCGGTCAATCTCTTGCTCGTGGCGCGACAAAGCAGGTACGATGGCACGGTGGTAGATCAGCAGTGTGCCCTGCGAGTTGGAAGGATCCAAGGACACAGGAGAAGGGAGGCCAATGTGAATGGGAAAATCCCGCAAGATTGCAATAAACGTGCGTGAGAAAGTTATGGGACAGTGGCAGGACGAGACGAACGAATTGCAGCGCGGACAAACCGTGAAGAACAGCGCAGAACGCAACGCGTACACGCCATGACAGCGATGCAACTGAGTGAGCGAGAAAAGGAGAAGCATCAGTACCTGAGTTCGCGGATGCCAGAGGTATACGCAGAAGAGGACTTTGAAGACGTCATAGAACGGAAGCCTGAGCAAAGAGACGATGCGCGCGGGAATTCAGAATATAATACGCTGACACAAGATATTAGGTAGAAACACACAGAAACATAGTAAGGATAAAAATTCGGAAGTGATTGCATACCATAGAACCGACATCAAACTGTTCAGATTATCTTATCGTTGATAGATTGGACTCACCAGGTGATGAGGCCAAAGAAAAGACAGCTCTCCAAGACGTGGAATGCAGCCATAATCACCCTGGAGAAACGATCAACAACAAGCGAGGTTAGAACGTATACATCGTTGCTTCCTGATCGAAGTACATGCCATGATAGACCACGCATAGACCATGCTCAATTCACGCTTGCGGTTCGCACTTCCAAGCAAACAAACAAACTCACCAGTACTTGCACCAGAAGCGGAAATCATCCGGTTCAGAAGAGCGTCGCTCTACCGTCTTGTACGTTGCGTATGCTGGATACAGGTAACCCAGCAGAGACCTGCAATCGGGAACAATATTTAGCATATGCGTTAGTATGCAGAATATAAAACACATTCGCATGCTGGATAAAAATACCAAAGCAGAGATCCGGGGATGACGAGAGAGATTAACCAGAGTACGATCCTAGTAGGGCAGATGGAAGACAGAAAAAAGGTGTAGTAAATCAACAGAGCGAGTTAAATGAACTCAGGAAGGAGGGGAAGAAGAAACTCTGACCGGCTTCGACGTGCTGCTACGATCAACGTTAATTGCTACGAACTTACAGGAGAGGCCATGAGAGCAAGAAGAGCATGGTGCCGAAACCTTAGCCCAGAAAGCTGCTTTCGAGATCTAAAACAAAAAGTCTATCACCGTCACAACGATGCGAAGCTAGCGTGCGAGCAACGAAAACAGCCAGCAATGCGTCACGGAGACTCGAAAGGCTTCGCAGTCAGCGCAAAGCCACCGAAGGAAAGGCTTTGCAGGAATACCCAACAGAAAAGACACGGAATGGCTATCAACAGCTGAGCCGCTGAGACGTTGAGTTTTTGGTAGCGAATGCGGTTCAGCTAGGTTTCGCACGATTTACCACAAACATTGCTTTTACCACTGTGTAACGCACAAAACCGAATACAACCGTGATACGTGAGATCAAGAGATACCCATCACCAGGAGTGGCCAAGCGTAGGGGGTGTTTGGTTTCTCAGGTTCGACTTGCCCCGATTTCAGCATTTCTGTTACTTGAATCTTAGGCGTGATATTTGACAAAACACCAGACAAGGAACAAGACAAGATTTGAAGCAACGAGCTGCGAGTTTCATGAGCTGTCTCTGCCAGGCTTACAAATTTCGCGGGACCACAGCACGAAGAGAAAAATACGATTTCGAGCCGAGTTTCTCAACAAACAAGCCTTGAGAAGGGATGTTCCGGACCATGAGGAAGTTACCACAACTCCTGATGTGTGGGCCAAGATCCTTGGAAACTGGGCACGTGTGTGTCAGACAGCCGTCGGATGATTCACATCGGCGAACGCCGAGCCCCTCTCCTCACACGGAATGACGAACGCGGACTGACAGCTTCGTCGAGTCCGAAGTAGAACCCAGATCTGGCGAATGTTTGCTTTATCGGTTCCTTCTACAGTCTACTGATTTAAGCTCAACACAACTGAAAAGGCATTCAAGAAATATATTTCGAATCCACTAGCCAATTTGATATGCTTTAGTGCATGTATGTACCAAAACAGCTTACACCAGTCCGTAACAGGTCCCTAAACACAACAGGGCAAATGAGAGCTTCGGCAGCGCAACTCCTCTCAGTGCGAAACGCTCTTGAGCACGTCAAAATAGTCGGGGAAGGTCTTGCGTGTGCATCCAGGGTCCCGGATCACCACCGGCGTTCCGGAGCAGGCGGCGAGGGCGAAGGACATGGCCATGCGGTGGTCGTCATACGTGTCAATCTCCGCTGGGAGCACGCGCTCCGGGGGTGTGATGATGCAGTAGTCCGGTCCCTCCTCCACATGCGCTCCCAGCTGAGGGAGAGTGGTGGGGAAATAAAAAAGAACGGATATACGGGTGTGTCAATCTCTGCTGGGAGCACGCGCTCCGGGGGTGTGATGATGCAGCAGTCCGGCCCCTCCTCCACATGCGCTCCCAGCTGAAGAAAAGGAGAGGAGGGGGGAGGGGGGAGGAGGGGTCAGGCAGATAGTACTGTTGTGTTCAGCCTTCACAGCTGTACTATCTGCCTGACCCCCCCTCCCCCCTCCTCCCTCCTCTAAAGGGAGTTGTCAGGAGGTGGGAGGGGGGAGGGGGGAGGGGGGACAGGGGAGGGGGGTTCAGTTGGGCACAATTAGATAATGCAGTAGTCTGGACCCTCCTCTGCATGCGCTCCCAGCTGAGGGAGAAAGGAGGAATTGGAAAAATGGAGGGGAGATAGACAGTTTAACCTATCACATGGAGTAGCACACCTGGGATAACAGGCAAGCGCATTAGATCCACAATCAGCAGAGGCACAACAGAAGCATCAGAGGCACTCACCTTGGTCAGTTCAGTGCAGATGGCGATCATTCGCTCTGTCTCCTTCACACGCCATGTTCCCACTGCAGAGATACAAAGGAGGAGATGGAATAGCAGGGACACGGAAAGAGGTAAGGAGGGACAGTTAAGAAGATCTAGTTTTCCTGCGACGTTCTTATGTGCGACGTGACCAACTCACTATCACAGATGGCAGTGGGGGCTTCCGCGAAAAGAGCCACGACAGGCAGTGTCTTCAAAACCGCATCCCGCACCTGAGGAGCCTCAAAAGGCCTTACGACGCTTTGAATGCCAGACCTTGCTTATGTGTGCTGTGACTAAAACGAGACCCACTCACCATCGCGGATGGCAGAGGGAAAAGAGTCACGACAGGCAGTGCCTTTGAAACCGCATGCACACCTGAGGAGCCTCAAAAGGCCTTAGCAAACGCCATACCTTGCTCATGTGCGATGTGCTTAAAATGAAAGTGAGACCCTCTCTCACTATCACGGATGGCAGTGGGGCCTTCGGCAAAGAGAGCCACAACAGCCAATGTAATGAGCTACCCATATTTGGCCCGCGTGTGATTACGGGGTGTCATGATCACGTGTCGTGCTCATGTGTCATGCCAAGGATGCGATGTGTCACTAAAATGAGACCCACTCACCATCACGGATGGCAGTGGGGCCTTCGGCAAAGAGAGCCACGACAGCCAATGTCATCGCGACATCTGGCATCTTGTTCATGTTCACGTCAATGCCCTTGAGCCGTCGGATGCTCCCATTGGCTGCCGGGGGAGGCCCCGTTACAGTCACACTCTCCTCCGCCCACGTCACTGTAGCTCCCATCTGCTCGAGCACTGATGCGAAATGAACATCACCCTGTAACGAGTACAGAAGAGGAGGTGGAGGAGTAAGGGAGAAAGGAAAGAAGGGTGGGCGTGGGAAGGGGGAAAGGAAAGAAGGGTGGGCGTGGGAAGGGGGAAAGGAAAGAAGGGTGGGCGTGGGAAGGGGGAAAGGAAAGAAGGGTGGGCGTGGGAAGGGGGAAAGGAAAGCAGGGTGGGCGTGGGAAGGGGGAAAGGAAAGCAGGGTGGGCGTGGGAAGGGGGAAAGGAAAGCAGGGTGGGCGTGGGAAGGGGGAAAGGAAAGCAGGGTGGGCGTGGGAAGGGGGAAAGGAAAGCAGGGTGGGCGTGGGAAGGGGGAAAGGAAAGCAGGGTGGGCGTGGGAAGGGGGAAAGGAAAGCAGGGTGGGCGTGGGAAGGGGGAAAGGAAAGCAGGGTGGGCGTGGGAAGGGGGAAAGGAAAGCAGGGTGGGCGTGGGAAGGGGGAAAGGAAAGCAGGGTGGGCGTGGGAAGGGGGAAAGGAAAGCAGGGTGGGCGTGGGAAGGGGGAAAGGAAAGCAGGGTGGGCGTGGGAAGGGGGAAAGGAAAGCAGGGTGAGAGTGGGAAGGGGGAAAGGAAAGCAGGGTGGGCGTGGGAAGGGGGAAAGGAAAGCAGGGTGGGCGTGGGAAGGGGGAAAGGAAAGCAGGGTGGGCGTGGGAAGGGGGAAAGGAAAGCAGGGTGAGAGTGGGAGCGGGAAAGGAAAGAAGGGGTTGCTCTGACAGTGCCTCCAGGGATCCCTGCTCTTTCACACACCTCTGCCATCACACCTCTGCCATCACACCTCTGCCATCACGCAGAAAATTCCACCATCACAAAATGCTACAGGGAAAAGACTAGTCTTCTGCTCATGACTACAGGCGCGAGTAGACTAGTTACAATCACACATACCTACACACTGCTCCAGCCACACCCATGCACAATGACGGTATTTTTGAGTAGACCAAAAAATATGCACGCTGCTCCAGCCACACCCATGCACAATGAAGGTGCCTCCAGCAATGGCCGCGGTTTCACGCGTCACTCACTCATTCTCACCTGCAGGCTGCTGCGACCACACCCATGCACAATGAAGGTGCCTCCAGCAATGGCCGCGGTTTCACGCGTCACTCACTCATTCTCACCTGCAGGCTGCTGCGACCACACCCATGCACAATGAAGGTGCCTCCAGCAATGGCCGCGGTTTCACGCGTCACTCACTCATTCTCACCTGCAGGCTGCTGCGACCACACCCATGCACAATGAAGGTGCCTCCAGCGATGGCCGCTGTTTCATGTCATGCACCACTGACAACACTTACACGTGCAATGAGTACAAAATGGTATCATAACATAGACCAGGTACAATCACCCTTCATACCTGCATAGGCTGCTGCGCCCACACCCATGCACGGTGACCGGACCTCCAGTGATGGCCGCTCGTTACCGGGATAACGCCATACAGCCACCACTCTTACCTGCAGGCTGCTCCTGCCGCACCCATCCACGGTGACGGTGCCTCCAGTAATGGCCGCGCCAGCAAGGAAGTAGCTGGCACTGGATGCATGCATTGCCCTCCACAAACTAGGATAGGCTATGCATATATGCTATCCGCGTTTCTCACCTGCAGGCTGCTCCTGCCGCACCCATGCACCGTGACAGTGCCTCCAGTGATGGCCGCGCCAGCAAGGCATGCGTCGCCCTCCACAAACTAGGATAGGCCACGCATATATGCTATCCGCGTTCATACATACCTGCAGGCTGCTGCGGCCGCACCCATGCACCGTGACGGTCCCTCCAGTAATGGCCGCGCCAGCAAGGAAGTAGCTGGCACTGGAGGCATCCCCCTCCACAAAGGCACGACCGGGGGAGCTGGTAAGTAGGGGAAGTGGGGAAGTGGGAACACAGCAAGGGGGGAGTTGCAGGGGATCTGGGGCACAGGTAAGAGAGGCGAGGGAAATAGCTGGCGCTGGACGCATCCCCCTCCACAAAAGCACGACCGGGGGAGCTGGAGAGGAGTGGAAAGAGAGGAGTGGTGGCAGGGGGGGGGGGGGGGGGGGGGGGGGGGCAGGTAGGGAATGTTATGGGGGTGGCAGGTAAGGAATGTTATGGGGGTGGCAGGTAGGGAATGTTATGGGGGTGGCAGGTAGGGAATGTTATGGAAGGGCGAGTGACGGGAGTAGCTGGCGCTGTATGCTCCCTCCACGAAAACATGTCCGGGGGTGCTCGAGAGGAAACGGCAGGGGCGTGGGTACGGGAAGATGTAGGTCTGGTCCCCTGCGATGCCGAAGCGCTCCCAGTTGCCCTCAGTCTCCACATGCAAAAATTGCGGGTAGAGAGACGACTTTTGAGGCGCCTCAAAAGCCGAAGCGCTCCCAGTTGCCCTCAGTCTCCACATGCACCCCGAACCTCTCCATTAGGCGAAGCGTCATCTCCACATGCACCCCGAACCT